CAGCTTATGAATTCGAACTTTGTTACTGTAAATGTTTATCGAATTGAAGAGATAATTAAGATTGAATGTTGTATCATTTATGGATGAAAAAGTTGTAAATAGCTATCACAACAGATATATATACATGGTTACATCTGGAGAAAAGCATTGAACAGATATTTTGTCTTTGTTCAAAATTACTGAGAACTGTAAACCAAAAACACCATACGACTTTGAGAAAAAACTTTCTAGTCTGTTTTTAATCGATTCCTAATACTGTTAAAATTAAATTCAATGGTCTGTATATTAAACTTGAGTCAGTTTGAACGGATTCATTGAAAGTCAATAATTAGGTCTGTGTACAATATTCAAAAGTAAACATCACTAATGAATATATCGAGGAAGTAGGGATAATATTACTCTTAGTTATAATGCTGTATTGGTTGTCCATATTAACCTTATGTTCGATCTGCGTGTTTCATCACAGAAGCATATAGAAACTATCCTCCTAAACGTATCAACTTATTTTATGATTTCGCAGAGAATCCATAGAAACGTTTATATAATACTAAATTACAGAAATCATTAACATTATGAGAATGTGACTACAAATAAATAAGTGTCTAACGTAAAGTTTATTTTGTAAAACGATTTACTTTTGTTTTGTCTCAATCATTGAAAACATACAAGGCGGTATTGTCAAAGCTCGAAAATAATAATGTGAGTGATAAGTAGCTAAATTCTAACAAAACAATTTCGTCAAAATAATCAAACCTCATCAGAAAGAAAGAAAGAAACCATTGTAAATAGCCATTGTTTTCAAAACCATATGAAAGATTTACGGTAATAAAAATGTAAACAGAAGAAAACCGACATACGCTGAGTAAAGTTTTACAAGAAAAATATTTTCAACCAACATAACATTATAACTAAGAGAAATATTATTCATATCTCCTGGATATATTCATTAGTTTACTTTTGAATAATGTACACAGACCTAATTATTGACTTTCAATGAATCCGTTCAAACTGACTCAAGTTTAATATACAGACCATTGAATTTAATTTTAACAGTATTAGGAATCGATTACAAACAGACTAGAAACTTTCTTTTCTCAAAGTCGTATGATGTTTTTGTTATACAGTTCTCAGTAATTTCGAACAAGGACAAAATATTTGGCCGATGATTTCCGTTTTTCAGTAGTTCCCTGTTTGTTATTTACTCACGAGGAAGTATTGTCACTATCCTCTCTTAAAGTGAAAGAAACACTGAAATAAGCCACACATAAATTTTTCAGTGCTCCGAATATTTTTCATCTGCATAAACTTCAATGTTATTCATGAACAGTTACCATTTTTTACTTTTGACTCAATTATTCTGTTGTATCTTTTTTAAAAAAAACTGAGAACAGTGTTTCAGCATATCTAAAACAGACAAAAAGAGCAGTTTCTACTTTGTTACACCGGGCGAATTTTCATTAATCACTTTGTACTCCTCATTTATATTCTTCAATATTGATTTATTAACTGATGGACAAATATCTCATGGTCAAATTATTTGGATTGAACATGTACGTACAAATAATTATTCATAAAAGAATTTTGAAAATTGGTGAATTTTCATTTTATATTATGAACAGTCGTTGAAAACCAGGGAACACCAGGGAGTTATTTCAATAAAGTACAAGATTCCTCGGGAGAGGACATCTAAGATCCCATAGAGGGTTGAGTACAGAACCTTCAGACCTCGTAGCGTGGAAAACCTGGAGGTTATGAGTTCGATTATCAGTTGAGTTGTTCAATTTTGAGTTGAATAATAGGATGAAATAGTTGTTTATTCCTTCCTGATTATCAGTAGTTATATATCTAATACGTACATTAAAAAATACATAATTGTTTGAACTACTAAACAAACACAAATATTTATTTAGTTAGTCAGTAGTTCTAACTTTTCTGATTTATTCATTTGAAATTTAAAGATAGGTTCTTTGAATAAGCTTTTAATTTAACTAACTTAGTATTATCAATCATATCAACAATCAATTGGTTTATTTACACATTTCTGATCTAAACATATTACAGTGGAAACAATACTGGTATGTGAACATCGTGGGACGAATACGGATCATTTTAAGAATATAGACTCAATAAACTGATAAGTCTGAACCTTGGATTTATAACATTCTGCTTATACTACAATCAAATGAAATTTAGAGCTACATACATAACGTAAGTCTCTAAAATTCCTTAAATAACAATAAATGAGAAATCAATTAGTATAAATGGATTCAAAGGAAATGATAAAACTATTTGAAATTAAGTGTATAAAGGACAATTTACATGAAAAATCTTGAAATTCAGTAGTTTATTGGTTTAAAGATTTTGGGTTTTAATTTGACATGATTTTTCACAGAAATAACAATAATCAATGTTAAACGATTTATCAAACAACACTCAAAATAAATAATCATACAGTTTAATTTCTACAAAATGAATAATTGACAGAAACAATAACAGGACGGTAACGCTTCCCCCAAAAAGAAGAAAGAATGTAATAAAATAAACATGGGCGGCAACATTTTAATTTTGAAAATTACACAAGTACTACAAAGCTAAATCCTAAGAAAAAATTGTTATAAGACTTTAAATGTTTGTCAATAGGAATATAAGGGAAAACGATTATTAGTTAACCGAACAGAATTAAGTAAATAAAATAATTTGTTTACAAATAAGAGGGTAGTTAAACCATAATATTATTATCAGTAAAGGATCTTGGAGATTGTCAAGCTTTGATTGAGATCATAAATGGATCAATGTTAGACCGCCATTGAAAGCCTGAAAGCACTGGACAGCCATTTCATCCTAGTATGGGACTGCTAAATAGCAGTGTGCATCCACGATCCTGCACACGGGATCCGAACCCAGAACCTTCGGACTTTTCTAGATCTACAACTTCTCTATATCCAATATGGATAGCCAAAATTTAGCTTGGTATAGGCGAACTTATGTTATCATGTCCTCATATAGTATCAATCATCTTCATTGTCTGTAAAATTGATCCAGTTTCACCTTTTTAAGAAATATTAGAAGTAGATATGCAACCAGAAAGCAATTAAGATTCATGTTATGTGTTATGCATCAAATGTTATCCATCAAAATCATCCACCTGAGCTACAAATCTTCTCCACCATCTCAGCATCAAATGTCCAATACCAGAAACAGATCGTATATTTATTTGAATAAATTTCGTGTTATTTGATGTATAAATACAAGTATTTTTCCACGTTAATTTAGGGAGTCTAAACAAGATTGATAACAGAAAAAAATATTGTTTTTTTGAAACCAAACTACTAAATATGAAAATTACTTACGATATTTAATATTCATGGGAATAAGTATAAATTAATGCCAAATAGTATTAGACTACTTTTTTGTTATCTTGATCTAGAATGTTTATTATATTTAGTTGTGGAAATTGTTTAACTAGTTGGTGATTATTGTTTAAGCCATGAGTACTGAGAAGTAAGAAAAAAAATTGCGATATACACATAGAATATTGTTCTTTCGATGCATTTGAAATATGACACCGACAATAATTTATACAGGTTTTTTATTATGATGAATTCAGATCAATGAAAATGGTCGTTTATAACTACTTCAACAATAACTAGAGTTTCTTTTCAAGTCTTTGAATATTCTAATGATCAGTTAAAAAGTCATTCGTGAAACTGTTTAGAAAGCATCTGTAATCAGATATGACTTTATTTAAAAATTAATGATGGCAGGACAGATTGCTCAACAATTTCCGTGGACGAGATTGATCACGAAATCTAGTTCATTTTAAAATTGACTTTGTCTATACGAAAACAGAAAATAAGGAAACATTTCAAATTTACTGATTAACGAAATATAGTAGCATTCTAGGTAGTCCGCAAGTGAGCTAAGCTGTTCTTAGAAGCAGACTACTTACAGATTGTGACGAATAAACCTAGTGTCACACACCAATAATATTATCTTATCACAGTAAATTTGTACGGTTGGGTTCTTAATATTCAAAATGGAATTCCAAGGTCTAAACACCACGTCCTCTGTAGTTGTCATAATAGAGTGTCTTCATAAAGCACAATATACTTTGGATAAGCTTTTGCACTCTGAAGATTAGTTAGCAACACACATATAAACATGAAATATGACAGAAGAATCACATATCATAATAGCAATTCGAGTTAGGATTGTTATTATTACAAGTTATTATCAAGACTGGATTCTGAAATGTCTTAAAAACATATTATTATCAAAATGTAAACAACAGAAATCCTTGACTGTAATAAGACAAACGATTATATGTAGATGACCACAGTTGTACCACTAAGAAACTAGATGTTATAAATATTTTATATATGACTTTTTTATATCACCAACCAAATTGATTAGGTGTCTTTGAAATCATACGTTTTGAAAAGGCTATTTTTCCCTGTTTCATGAATGCAGAAATTAATATAAGACATTCATTGAAAATCTCTGTTATCAATCTGTGTCCACAAAAGCGATTGATGGACTTAACAATAATAATCAAAAGAATAACCCAAACGATGACGATATTGCTAAATAAGAAATATTTATTTATTTGAACACATAAATATTGGTACAAAGGGACAGCATATACTTATGTGCCGCACAAAAGCAATGAGGCTGTGAACAAATAGAGAATGTAAAGTGCGTACAAGAAAAAGGAGAACAAAAACGAACAGAAATTAGTGTATGAGAGTGAAATAATAATAATAATAATGGGAAAAACAGTTCAGTTATTAAAAATACAACCACAAAGAATTCTTTCAGTTCAAGAAGCTTACGTTCACATTCATGAAGAAAGTTACTGAAGAATGGTCAATTGCTTCTCCTCTGAGCCATGTCTGATAACGTCTCAAACCATTGTGTTGCACCATCTCCAGGACTCCAACCAGGGAGACATGAAAGACCAAGAGAAGCCAGTCCTGTACAGCTTTCTTTCATACCACGACACCATGTCATACATTCACCACCTTTCTGCTTTTTCTAACCGGCCCGAGAATCGGTAACGCATGACGTGGAATTTTTTGGGACGACATTCGTAGAACATATCTCAGCCACCGAAGTTGATGTTTCAATGGATGAATACTTAATAAGAAAGGTGACATGTTAACACTCTATACTAGTATTTCACATTAATGAATAACATCATTGCTATTTATATGATTGATGGCTCTTCATGTTTCTAGTTTGAGGCGAAATAGTTTTAAATCCTTATGTTGTAGTGTAAATCCGAGTTTTTTTAAATCTACTTCACCATTAGTAATAATTCGTATGCATTGAAGCTACGTATTTGAAGTTAGTTTTTGATAAATTGATACTAATCAACATATGAATCAATAATAAAAGGTTACCAAGGAAATCAAAATGTACAACCTTATTATCACTAAGAATAAAATGTATATGTCTTACATTTGTACACTGATATTAATCAGAAATCATTTCATAATGAACCATGTAACCTGTCTATTAAGTGAAGTCATTTTGAACTCTGTACAATCATATTTTGGATATGTACTATTTTTTTTAACTTTCAAAAATGATTTTGAATAGTTTTAACCATAACTTGTCATCAGCTCATAATTAATGGCTAGAAACGTCGGGTGATGTGACTTAAAATAGCTCAAAATAGCACAAATACATTGTCATTATCTTTCCTGAGATCTTAAGTTATAAAATCACCTTATACTGTCTTGTTCTATGAATTTCTTCATTCTACTCGAATCATAATGTCTATTCCAAGTGCGCTTTTTTACCATCAATATTGTTACTGTTTTAATTATTTTCACATTTATCTTGATACCTTCATACCGCTATGCTGATGTAATGCGACAAGTGGGACTGATATATATATGCATTCAATTCTACATTAGTTATGGCTGATTGTCATTAGCTAAAGAACTGTTAATAAACAAGGAGTAATGAGAAATAGTTTCTTTTTAATTTAGTGAACTCTTTAACGGTGTACACATTAGATATCTTGACGACAAGAAAAATATTTCCCGACCATATAGTTAAAATTCAATGGTTAACATTTTAAGAGTAGTTTAACTCATAACTCAAAAAAAACGACGATCATTAAATATATCTGTCTTAATCTTCATATGATTAAACGACACCAGTAGTGACTTCTCATAAAAAAATACTAACGGAATTCATTAACAAACTAATGACTAGTGAACATACATGATTATCTGTTCGGTTGAATGATTGTTGTTGTGTTTCCTTCATCTTTACTGTACTTTTGGCATAAAATCAACGTACACATATAAAGATAATAAAGACAGTTCTAATGAAAAGTATTGTGTTGTAACATATTAACAAACTTTATTTATTATTAATAGTAGTTTCAACAATGAGTTTCAAATATTGTAGAAAAAGTAAATAGACGAATCATCATATATATTAACATAGAAATAAACATTATGATGGCAAAACAAAAAGAAGTTTCTGATCGATAAATTTGACGTTTCATCTGACTTTGTTTTTAACAGATTATTTTAGATCCTGTCATATATCAATTACTCTGTTAGATAATTGAAGAAAAATGATTAGCTGCACAAGTACTGATCAATTTAGGATGGGAATTAGACAAGTTAAATAGAAGAAGGATTTAGGAATGAACAAGACATATTTATGAAGATCATAAATTTTTCAATTAGGGAAATATATGAAATCTGAGATATACAAAAAGAAAATTAATATATAATCTTATAATGAGAGAGTATGTCGCTGTGATCCTCGACCAAATAAGGATGTCATCCATTGAGGTCTTTTTGGTAAAGTGTTATGTTTAGTTTGAGGTTTAGGAAAAATATCATTACTGTATGTGTTATTTGATAAATTACTTGAAAGATTGAGAAATAATTGTCGTCTAACTTGAGGAATTGATGAACGAATACTGAGTTCTTTAATCCAGCTAAATAGAAAAAAGAAATTAGATATTGATAAGCTTAAATATATAAGAAAAATCTTATGTTACACTGATTAAAAAAGAAGCTAAAGTTACCCTAAATGACGAAGTGAAATTACGTGCCATACAAATGAAAATTTTCAGTACAGTTAACATGTCGATTTCGTCAAATCCATAAGATACAATCAAATTAGACTATTATTTTGATATTTCATGAATCAAAATAGATTTACATCAAATTTAGTAGAAAATGATAAAGAATTTATATCTGTCCATGAACAAATAAACCACAGCCTCAGAATCTTTAATTTTTAACAAGCCAGTAAACTACAATCCCCAGTAATAAAAAATATAAACTTAAAAAAATTGACTGACTCCTCGAATCAAGTTTGTTAGGTTAAACTATAATATACAGACGACCATGGGTGACTTATCAGCAAATCAGGAAACGCTACCTAGTTATAAAATAGTTAACGATAGAGGGTAATAACAGTGGAATAATAGATTTAATCGTGATAATTAACCCTCACAAGTCAAATTATACCTCGTAGTAACGAAAAAAGACAAATTCACATTATATATATATCATTTAATACAATCAATTTACTACTGATTGATAAATTATTACTATGATTATTGAAATAGAAATATGCACAAGTGAATTAAGAAAAATCTTTGAATTACCTCAATACTTTATAAATGACCGACATTTTGAAGTGTACTTTGAAATGAGCTATAATCTATTGCTTTATCACCATACTGTGTACAACCTTGAGAAACTTAGAGTTGGGTTTGAGAGTAAGATTATGAAAAGGTGAATATTTGAACTACATCACGTACATTAACATGATGTTTCTTTAGAGTATGCATTTTATGTAATTTAGCTTAAGCCCCATCTAAAATTAAGATTTTGGTTGTACAATAGATATTTTCATTGATTTCAAATATTTTACGAACCAAATACTGTTAATTTGGTGAATAACGACATACATGTTACGTATCACTTCACTTTAAACTTCGCGTAAAATACAATAAGTGTTATTCTGTAATGACTGAGAACACCAGTGGGCACAACCAGATGTATAAATACAAAAATACAGAATCTCTCAGAAAAATATTGGGACGATACAAAAAAAACTTCATTTGAAAAATAACAATCAATCGTCGCAAACTTTGTTGTTCTTTCGTCTCTACATCAATCACTCTCTGTTCTCGCTCTCTTCTCTTCAAACATATTAACCTTCTGTCGCCAGGTGATACATACTACTAATATCTGTCGATATCGGTAGCACATACCACAATCTCAATTCCGATTGGTCGACTGAAGTGTTTCAATATATTATACATTTACAGCTTGTTAACTAAAAACATAAAGTGAGACTTAGAATTTTCAGTAACCTTCCATTAGTAATTTCAAGATAATAATGTCGTAAAACTCTTTATTTTATAGTATAGGAGGAAGTTATGAAAATTATTGAATTTGATAATTTTCCATCAATCCGTTCATGCAAAACTAAAAGTCCTTGCATATCATTTAATACAATCAATTTACTACTGATTGATCAATTATTACTATGATTATTGAAATAGAAATATGCACAAGTGAATTAAGAAAAATCTTTGAATTACCTCAATACTTTATAAATGACCGACATTTTGAAGTGTACTTTGATTTAATTGTTGTTTAAAAGTGGTGATTGTTAAAATGTGTATAGTCTATACTTATTACACATATTTACTATTCAATAATAATCAAATGTTTGCTCTGTCCAACAATGACAGTTAACTATTTTAAAAACGGTATTATAGCTTTCCAGTTTGTATTGTAAATATAATAAACGACTCAAAAAACGTGTTTGTTTATTTATTGAATGTTTTTACTATGCCTTTTGTAGGATAGGCAGTGAGATGTAAAAAATAGGACATGTTTTAACTTCCATTAAGAAGTGTGCTGATTAAGATCAAAACATGCAAGAAAAGGACAATGAATTGAATCTGCATTTTGTTCACCAGCCATTGGAATAAGGTACTAAGTAAGGATGGTAAATTGATAGGTGAGGTAGTAAATCTTTACCAACTAAGATGGTTAAAACATGTGCTACGTGTGTATGTGTATGTAAAATGTGTTAACGTCTACCTTGATGGATAATGCTGCCCGGTGAGGGGTAGGCTGGAAGAAAGCTAGGGGTGGGCAAACGAAAACAAGGCATCAGTTCATGAAGTCACTGACAATTGAACTGATCTGTGTTAACAGGTGTAGATTACTTGGTTGGGGTCTGAATGATTATCGTAATCAATGGTTGAAACTTCGAATGAAACGGCCCGAAATAGTTTGCGTTGACGCAGATGCATCCATTTTCTGTCTTCCTCTAAATATTGACCTTCTAAACTCCTCATAAATATTTTTGTGTTTTTATTTTAGTAATTTATATTTGCTTCTTGGATCGTATCTTTGATGCCTAATCTTTTCAGTCACTAATCATACTATTACTATTTCTACTGTTCTGTGATTTGGCCTGACCGACTGCTAATGGGGTATGGCAACTTGAACCAGTTTACATATATATACCATCTTCTACGTTTCGGTTGACCGACTGACCAGTGATTGAATAACGCCAGATATGGAATTCTCATAACATTACCTTACAGACACAACATTAGTGTGGATAAATAAAAATGTAAACTAGTGAAACAGTTAACAGAGGGGACCAAACATTCTAAGTCATTGAGAAACATGTATTCATTTCTTCTCGATTCCTCCGGGAGTTCCAAATTACTGGGGTGCTTTTAGATTATTTGATTAAAAAAAACTACTCACTTAGGAATCTTTATCACTAACAAAACAAGTTCTCACTAACTCATCTAACTATTTTTCGACATCATTTGAAAGACATTTGTATTGACAAGTAGATTTGGAGATCGATAATGTTACTTTACTGAAATCCAATTAATTTGAACACACTTTTTTCCGACTTCCAAACCGAATACAAAAGTTAAATAAACAGTAAACAGTTACACTTAGACCCGATGCTTTTTATGCAGCATCTTACTTAGCTATGTCATAAATGTGCGGTCTTATTACACTAATCAGGTGACATCTCTTGTAAACTGAACTTGAGCTTGGTAACTGAAAATAATTGTAAAAGGAGTCAAGTTTACTTAGGCATTTACAGTCTAGCGTCAGTCATGTTACAGATATACCGGTTACACTGTAAACATTTATTTCTATTTTCAACTAACTTCAATGATCATCCACGAAAAACGTATGTAAAAATTGTTAAATCTTACTATCAGTTTTCATTCGTTGATGTTTCTACACAGATTACAACAGTTACAACCATCAAATCTTATAATGTATAATTTTATGATGGAACGAATATTATAAAAGCTAGAACTGGTTTTCCAAATTATTATTTATTTTTTTGTATAATTATCAAGTAACTAGATTATGTGTATACACTCCATTTATCATAAGCTTTTAGTTGGCCCACTAATTACTGTTCTACGGTTTACTAGTCCTGACTTCTTACCGGTCTATTATTTAAAATCTTTCCTACTCACAGAAAATTTGGGCTTGTTTGTGTATAATTGTTATTTTATATTTTATAGTGTGATGCGGTACAGAAACATCATAAGATATAGTAACAGCTGGTTGCTGACTTTTAGACTCAAGGCAGGACATAGAAAAAAGCTAGCAGACACTAGACCAATAGGGTCTTAGCTGTGTGGCAAAGGTCAGTAGTAATAATCTGAAGTACAGTTTGTCAATTTGCGGACACTAGACTTTCAAGAAAATAGTAGATGCGAAGTAGACCATATTAGAATTCTGATCGTAATCTGGGTCAGCCATCACAAGGCATAATACATACTTAACGTTTCTGTCAAGTAACCCAAATGTCAAAGTCAATATGTAGAGGTGAACTATTAGTCAAAGTACTCGAACCCTAAAATTTGAGCTGCAAGTTCGAATAGTTCCACTGACAAAATGTGTGACTTAAAGCTAACTAAACAAAATTCGGTTCAGGGAATTTCATATGTAACTAGCAAGGGAGTCCAGGATGCGCGTTTTGACAAATTTTATTGTTGATATTACCACTGACGTTCGAACTCAGTGTCCCTTGCTAAAAATGCTAGCATGTTATCCATTGAGGATACTGACTCTAGATAACCATTACCTTGTTCAGTAGCTATGATGGTATTAGTAATGGCTAGTAACTTTCCATTATTGATATTATAAACCATGAAACCATACTGTTTCTAATTCTTATCAATTATTTAACTTTCAGAATGAAAAATTGTGGAGATTGTAGTAATTTTAATCTTTAAATTCATGAGCCGATCTAAACTAGTTCACCATTGAAAACCTGGAAGCACAAGGCAGCCGTTTCGTCCTAGTTCTAAGTTTTCTATGGGGGTCTAGCTTAGATCAGCTCATGAATTCAACTATTAAAATTATTTAATTGAAAGTCAATATACAAAACAAGATTGAAAATAACTTACGACTTGATATCTTCTAAAGCAATTAATTTACCACCTTGTTCTAGGTGCAACTCATCTCTTTCGACTAATGACAACATGAGAGAATTGTTTAGACCTGAAATAATAGAATAGTAGGATCAGGAATATTTTATCAGTAATACAAGACAATAATACAAAACAAAATAAAGGATTCATTCACAACAATTTAATTTGAACCTCTTGAGATCGATTTGAGGTATTTACCTCGTGGTCATTTTTATTACTAAGATACACAAAACATTGATGGCAAACTTTTTGCTGGCAACAATTCAATTTTTTTCAACCTGACTCGAATCTATCATACTGTTTTACAAACTGATTTACTAAATTCTAAGCTGGAATTCATCGGATGTATCACAGTGTTACTGAAATAATTACTGCTTAAATTTAGCTACTAAATCAAACAAAATCTACTGCTAATTATAAATTATTCATATACCCTGATAGAATCCGCTTTATTCTCTGAAATTCGTTCGCTAGTCATGGAAACGGCTCCCAGTGAACTCAAGGAAGCTCTAAGGAGCTCTGGAAGAACTGAGAACATTCTATCCAGTTATCGTTTGGAAAGATATTTCAGAATCCCGTAGCTTCCCGATTGGACAAATGCTAAAAACCACTGCATATGGACTAGACGATTGTAATGATGATTTTGTCTTTACTAAAAATATAAATACTCAAGTGTTTTGTACGATATTTGACTCTGGTTGGAATAAGATTCCTTTTCACTTGTCTTTTGTCTTCTAACTTGAGACTTGGAGGGTTTAAGCGTTCGAGTGCTCAAGTTGTGGGCAGTATAGCAAAAACTCAAGTTCTAGATATAACATCAATATACAATGCATACAAAAACACTAATTAATCAGTTAACAAATTAATTCATTTGAAATTTACTAATCAGTAATTAATAAAGACTGACCAGTTTTATCCGACCATAAAATGTTATGGATCATTACAAACTTATAAAATCTGATATTATTTTTCCTAGATATTTTCCAATATCGACTTAATGCACCAACAATGTCATTAAGAATGTTTATTCGATGTGAAGATAGTTCTTCATAATAATTTTTTTTAACAATTTAGACTACTGAATTCCAGTCTGTTATACAATATTCAAGACGAGAATAAATACAATCAAAACTATTGTTCTCACTTTCGATTCTAGAATGCAAATCATTCATAATAACTTTCAGTTGAGAAATAGAGAATTGAATTAATTCTTCTTTGGATATTTGAAACTTCCTATAGTCAACTCGAAGCTGATAGATTGAAGGAAATAAATAGGGGAAAGTATTATCAATTTACTTTGGAGTATTGGAATATATGACATCAACTTGCATGAAAAAATTATAAATTAACCGTAAATAAAACATGGATAAAAATATCCTTTTTAGTAATGTATATTTTCTAGTGAACAGAAATTTAGTTGGATCCAGTAGTCAATAAACAAATATAGATGTGAAGTCTTCAGGATGTGTTAAATATTTAGTAAGTCATATGCAAATAAGGACTAGAAAATTCGGCAGGACTATGATTTACAGACGAATCAATTAGATTCAAGATAGTGACTTCTGGATTTGGGTTAAATTATATTTTGACATTCTTGCTGTCAGTTTGTGATGAAAATTAAAACTTAAATTCCAAACTCTAACTATTAGTTCTAATTCCTCACACTAATTTATAACACTATTTTCACCCTAGTAGTAGGTGGTTCACGTTTCTCAAGGCCACTTTACCATGACTCAAAAGTTTTCCATAAATTACAGACGTACCAAAGATCCATTTCATTAAAATGCTCAAAAACACTGATATTTTCTTAACTGAATAAAAGGTTATATAATAAATTTTATAGTAGAATTGTAAAAGATACTACATATTCTTTGAGTGAAATGTAGAGATGTTAAACTTAATTACTTACATAATAAAGAATAATTTTAATCGGGGTCAATAAGAAACTCATTCAAAACACGTAATGGTCTAAGACTTTTTACTTTACTGTGAATATTTACTAGAACCATAAAATAAATATTAGTACAAAAAATAACGATCAATTTGATGGAACCGAAATATATGCAGTTTAATGATCATTGAAGTTAGAGAAATCTTCTGATTTACGACTGTATTTAAGATGAGCATAACATAAACTGATGAAATTCACTGAGTAGAGCTAAGTAGGGTTTAATTGATTACAAGCTAGAATGGAGTGAGAATATAAGATTAACAATCAGAAGCTCAATGTTTAGAGTTCGATAGAGAATCCTGGTTGGGGGCCTATGCTCTTCAACGAGGGGCAACAGGCGTAAGTAAGTAATCAAATAAACAAAGCATGGGAAATATAAAAAAAACGTTGAGATTTTTTAAAGCGAACCCACTATTCTATCAATTACAAGAATTACTATACGATTTTCAATTAGCTTGCTAGTTATTAATATGACTAGTGGTTAGGCTTCATCAATCTTTAATGGTTTTTTTTGTGTGTAACACTATTACTGATAAAGTGAATTAATTAATTTAACAATTTCCACCAATATTTAATCTACATTTCTCACATACACTTATGAATCTACATTATCTCACTGAACACAATGAACATGTATGAACTAATTGGCAAGAAAAAAACAATATACATCCTTGTTAACGCCTATTGCGTAAAAATAAGGTAACTAAAATTCATTCCTTAACTTCTATTCTACATTCTTTAACATTACTGTCTTTTTAAAGTGTAACCAATTCACTATGTCAACTAACAATAGATTATACTACTTTGAAAAGAAGATTTTAATAGAATAAAGTACATGGAAAGATTTTTTTCATCTTTTCGGTTTGTTTAAATTCACATTTTAAGAAATGAAATTAGAAACTATTAGGAATGTTAGAATCACATAGGTTTTTTTTATAGTCAGTATAATGTTGATCATTGTTCAGTATAAGGATGGTTAACATCACAAAACTATTAAGAATATTTGTTTGATGTTATAATTCATGATGGACATGTAATGGATGAAGTATTCTCAATGTATGATAGTAAAATTCATCACACATTATTGTTATATTCCGATGACAATAAGGAATAGTAACTGTTAGGATCTATTTCAAGACTAATACTAAACGTATATTTTTATTGTATAATTTTCAAGTAACTAAACTATTCATATTCGTGTTCCTCTTATTATAAGGCATTATTTTGACCTATGAACTATTATTATACGATTTACCATTCTTGAGTTATGCCCAGTCTATCAATTACTATCTCCCACATTCACAGCCTGTTTTTGGCTAAATCTTGTACAAATGTTATTTTTTTATTTTATAGTACGATATGGTCTGTTTGGTTTGTATATAAACCCAGTATGTTTGAAACACAGATTCATATCGCAGAGGATGAGATCAGTGTTCTGGACTCAACAGGCAAAGCTAGGCAGGAAGCAGGACCGATAAAGACTCCAGACTGCTTGTACCGGTTTTATGCGTCATTGATCCAGTCGAAAATTCACTGTTCTTTAATTGGCGATATCATTACGTTATACATTATTGGGGCACAAACCCACAAGTTACCACAAATATGAATATAAATTCAAATACAAACTACTTATGGTACAGTTGCTCTTTATAGTATCAAATTATATGTATATATATATATATATATATATATATATATATATATATATATATATATATATATAATTTGATACTATAAAGAGCAGTGTTATTGTAATTTAACCTTTAATTATTATGTTACCAAAAAATCCCAAAAATTCATAAGGTTTATTAGACTGATGGATTGTTTATAGCAGTGGAATGCAGGACATGTGTTTTATCCTGTTGAGACTTGCCAGTCATATGTACCTGCATAACAACAATGATGTTTATACAGGGACTTGGAAATAATAGTCTTTTGCTTCAATAAACAATACAAATGTTGGTACCAAGGGATTACGCATAGGATACACATTAACCAGTAGAGAATGATCAGAATTTATTCCTTAATATCAGAAATAGGAAAACTTTAATCATACAAAAAGTCCATGATTTTAAGTTTCCCAAAAATTTACTGTCTATGCAGTGTTCACTTAATGAACCCTCAAAAGAACAATTTCAATATTTATTTTGAGCAGATATTTGAATGATGATGATTATATTACAATAATAACATAGGCAATATAAATATTACAAAGTACTGAGTGAAATAATAAGTCTAAAACATGACGTATTCTTTTCGTAAAGAAAAAATAACCACACACAAGAAATACTTCTTAGTAATCAGTCCCACCCGATTATCGATTAATTAGGCGTGGATTAAATAAATCCTGATGAAGATTTTATACAAGAATCAATATGTACTAAATAGAAATCTGAAAACAATCATTAATCTTATATCGTTACAAAAAATATTCTATAAATAAAACTGATAAACATTAGGATCCAAATATATTCAGCTGACGCGTCCTAAGTCAAACGAAACGCGCGTTCTGTATCGATATGGTAAACTTAAAATCACTGAAAGGTCTGGATTTTCATCAAAAATGTATTTTTACACTGAAGATTTACTTAATTATTTACTTTATTACGTCTGTCCTATGAAAGAAATGGGCCTATATGCCAATAAGAGACTGATCAATTACAGTCCTAAACATCAATACTAAGATTCAAGTAAACAATACCAAGTGAATTTATATGAAATGTAGTCTTTAAAATAGAGCGACTTCTCATCCAAATGTGCAACGAAAATTGTGTTAAGATAACAGATTGTGTGTATTTGTAAAGTGATCTAAGGTGTGACAAGAAATTTCATGGAGTATTTATCACCCCTAAAATATAAAGTCAGTATGAATAATCATTTACTTCACATTTGGTCGAATACATTTTGTGACTTAACAACATTTCTATCCTAACGTGTTCGTAAATGAACAGAAGGATAAAACTATTTATTCATTTGTAACTTTTCAGTACATCATATGAAATTCTATCCAACTTCATTTTACTGTTCCCGTATATTTAGTCCGTTTTTCAGATTACAATTATTATCAACTTAACGTTATTTCACATCACAGTTAACTCTTTAGCCCAATAGTCAATTTTTTGATTATTTAACACTACAATCAACACATTATCACATTGATAAGTTCTATTACAGAAAAAAATTCTTTACAGTTTTTTTCGTAAGTCACAATTACCTCACTGAATTCAATCTTCTTCGTTTAGTATTTTACGAAAAAAGTACATTTCTGAACCAAAAGTACTAGAGATTTTCATCTTTCCTTTTGGAAACCCTATACATGATTATGAAGACAATTAGCTAAGTGAAGGTTTGTTGTTAACCATAACTTCATGCCTGAATCATACCTTATACTTCGGTGAATCTTAACTCATTAGGTACTACTGAACAACCTATAAATATTTAAACAATAATCCCACTGAAATTAATGAAAACGTTTAAGTTGATAATTTTATTCAGAAGAAACCCAGAATCAAAATAGTAGCATTTTAGAGATAGGAAAATGAAGTACTAATATTTTAGGAAATGAAGTATGGTGGCTGTTATCATGGACACGCGTTTTTTCCTATACGGAGCTCATCAACTGAATGTACATCAATCTATACCAATGAGGAGAACTAAACAACCAATATATATCAGAATATCAATATGTTTAACAATTAAAATAAAAATAAACCTCCTTAATGTAATCATGAAATAGTTGACTCACTAATGTTGCTATATTTGGAGTTATCGATGAAATTTTTGTACGTTCAACTTCTGCTTGCATTGCGGATATTTTTGGAACCTTCAATAAAGAAAATTTCAATGAATCAACATTATTAAAACACTGATTACGTAATCATGAATTCATTCGTATGTATCTAAATGCATGTAATCAAGTGAATATTTAAAGTAAATTTTAACAAAAACGACTAGGGATTAGGATTAAATCGTAAATTTTAATTATATATTTCAATGTTATTTTACTAAATTTGGTAAACTAAGTACACTTAAGGTGGTTTATTATAAATCCATTAGAAAAAAATGGTTTATTATTATTTGAAAGTTCCCGTTAAACATTGTTCATAAGTTTTGACAAAGCTTAGATAATAATGACATATCATAACAAAAATGGACTTTAATGGTATCTTTCTAGTTAATGAAATATGAATAACAGAAAATCTTTGACAAAAATCTTTATTAGTGAATTTAAACTAACTTAATATGAATTCTTGACCAATCTTAGTCAGTGATTTAATATCATTAAATCTAACTAAAATATTACAGTTTTCAGTGGACCGGGATCAGACTCCAAGTAAAATCGTTTATGATCGCTATTGAGATATACATACCGTCAATCTTCGTATATAATCATGTTTACTCCACCGCTTGTCATATCGCTTCGCTTCTCCTTCGATATTTTTTCTGGATCAACGATTGTATCAAATATAAGTATTTGAAATTCATCCGCGTATTTGGCTTATTCTATTCAGTTATTGAATAACGCAATTTAAGTCGATCAAATATACGAGGATAGGTGACATATATATTTCGACAGCAATCATTCAATGACGAACATTCATACAATCTAATTGGAGTCAGATCCCGGGCCACTAAAAGTTATTTTCAAGTACGAAATAAATTATTCAAAGAATTAATTAGTGAAATGAAAATGTAGAAAATATAAAGCAATTTCACATTATTCACATAAAATCTAGACATATAAGCAAAAGCTTCTAAACGGTCACATTTGTATGTAGTTAAATATTAAGGAATCACAACAAGAGCATTGATAAACAATACACCTACTGAAAAACTAAGAAGCCTCGTGACTCAAACTATAATAAAATGATTTAATTAATACCTCTACAGTACGTATAAATTATTTGATCATATTTTATTCTCCTAACGGTGAGACTATAATTTATGGACAGCCTTTGAGCGACGCCAAAGTGAACATTGAATTAACAGTCGATGGTCAGGGTTAGGAATTAGATTTAGTCTTTTTATCACAAAAATTCCAAAACGCTATTTAGCCGAATGGATGATTGAATTTCGCACCAAAATCAAAGACCTGTTACCTTATATCCTATTGGTTCATCCATAAATTATAGTCTCGCTCTCTTAAATGTTTCAATCATTTGTACTTATTTATTCAGATGGTCAAAAAATTGCATTCAGAACATTGTTTTTGAATATAACATCAACTGGATATCATCTTCAGGATGGAATACAACATTTATATTTCAAATAGTTTAAATTATATCAATTATAACCTTATCGACAGTTTTTTTCTCACCCTAAACGATAATATTTTGAACTTTTATGGTAACTAATGCACTATATTATCTATTTTGCTCCAAATTGAACGTACATTAGCTTAACGTTCATTTGTAAATCGAAATTTTGGCTGTGACGAACGGTTAATAGATAAATCTTAAATGATCAAAATATATAAGATGATTGTTTCAATTTTAAAAACATACTATTTTATTAATTTATTACTTAATAGTATCTTAAAATATAGAAAGCAATACAACGTTATTTGGCATGTACTACAGATTATCTAACAGAGTAGTGTAGACTAATGAAATTGGACAATCGAACGAATTACTATTGATCAAAAATGGATTAATCTGTTATTCAGCTATTCAAAAGAAATCGAATCACTCTAAATATTGAGATAAACACAATTCTCATTCCGTCAAACACTTAAATTATTACAGATATTATTATTACAAATATTAAGCAAGGTAAAGTAACTCTTACAACATATATGTGGTATCAGTATAATTGATTTAGACTAACATACACAGATACTAATTCATACATTCAATTAGATAACTTTCCAAAGTATGACTGAATTGCTGTAGTACACAATCATTTACATTAAGTACAGTCATCACAAACTTTTCATTAAAAACGAAATACTTTTGTTAAAGAGAAATACGAATCTGTTAAATATATTCTATTCAAAATTATTTGTCGATTCAATATTCAATATATATTCATCGATAATCATTTTATTACTTGTCACCTCAAAACTCTGACTATTTCCAGTCAGAGACAAAGAAAATATTTAAATTATGTGTATTTTTCAGCCCTAACAATGTTGTCATGACAATATAAAAAAATCAATGTGGTGAAGGAGGCAAAAAAATTTTTTTTGTTTATCCTCTAGCCTCATTCTCATATAGATTCAGTCATCTAGTTAATTTTCTTTATGATTATATTTACCGCTATATTTTCATTGATTTCAGTGGTATTGATGTGGTCAAAACCTATAATGATGGTTGTCCTTTTAGTTTATGGATACCACACCCTAGTAATTAGAAGATAAGTGAAAAAAACTGTTCAAATGATCTAAATACAGGTAATAAAACCATTCAAATAACAAAAACAATATATTATTTAGGTTGCCAATTACGATCTTTTAAGACAACTGATAATCAAATTAATCCAAATTATTGATTGATTGGTAAAAAAAAACTTAACCAGATACGATTCCATGGTATAGGAGAATGTCAACCAACTGTAAATCTAATATTACAAACTTAAATTAACCTACCTTTGATAAGATAACCAAAACAGTGCTGTTTAGTAGACTAATTTATCGGTTACTAACTATCTTCGACTGATTATTCGTCAATTGTTGAGTAAAATATGATTTTATGAATCAAAACAAAATCCATAATCATTCGACTTCGAACAAACCACTACTATGTTTAACATATTTACAATTGATTGATTAACTAGTAGTGACCAATGCCATGTATATCATAATGTTCTTAATACTGATCCGATCCAGCATTCTACATAGTAACCAATATGTTGAGATATAAGGTAGTTGGAGATGGTCGGTAAGGAACCTTGGATTTGGGCTACATATACTCGTTAGTAATGTGTGGGGGGAAATGGCACTTCCCGGATGATTCTGTCCCGTTTCACCTAGCTTCATAGTTAAATACGCTGTCATGATACACCATATCACTTGTCATCCTGATGGCTCAGTAATAACATCTCTGACTGTGAAACTGAGAAACACGGCACAGAATCTGTTAGGAAACACTAGATCCCTTGAGGTCACTATAACACTCTGCTGAAGAACCCCAAAGAGCACAAAACCTAGGTCTAAAGTTTCCTATCGACTACCTACTGTCATATCAAATACTTATGCGCACTAGGTAATCTTACGAAAATTATTAAGGCCCATTTCTTTCATAGGACAGACGTAATAAAGTAAATAATTAAGTAAATCTTAAGTGTAAAAATACATTTTTGATGAAAATCCAGACCTTTCAGTGATTTTAAGTTTACCATATCGATACAGAACGCGCGTTTCGTTTGACTTAGGACGCGTCAGCTGAATATATTTGGATCCTAATGTTGATGTTCGCATTTAAGCTCTAACTGAACATCATTTGTTTTCAATACCCAACGTATTATCCACTGAGCTAGCAAATCCAGATACCCATTAACTACTTGATAACTTTCAAGCAAACTAGCTAGTAAGTAGTCAGTACACCATATATTCTAAGAAATAACTAAAATTGTGATTAGTCATGTTTTAAGAGTTCTATTAAACAATTATGAAAAAGCTTAAGGTCTACTGAATTCATCAAAACTAACTAGCATACGGAATTTCAGATCTTAATTTAATTACAAACAGACGAGTTAGGTTTATTGTTTGTAAACAAGCTTAAATATTACGATTGGATAAATATTAGACCACCATTGCAAACGTGGAAACACTGGACGGCCATTCTATCCTAGTACGGGACTCTTCAGTAGTGAGTATCCATGATCTCGCATGAGGGACTAGAACCCAGGACCTTCGGCCTCGCTGGAGAACGCTTAACGTCTACACTACTGAGCCGGCATCCAACAGTGTTGATGTCTAACTTCAACCAATCAACGACATTATTATGTGCTCACTAGTGACTGGCTTCAAGATAAGTCTTCTAGAGTTCTAGCAAGAAGCCGTGGCTAGTAAAGTTCATCTGTGTCTGTTGTAGAGGTAATTCCTCATTGGAGACAATGATAGACGGTTGCACAATTGATTGAAGTCAGACATTAACATCGTTGGATGCCAGCTAACTCAGTGGTCTAAGGGATAAGCGTTCGCCTGCGAGACCGAGAGCCCTGAGTTCATGTATCGCGTGTGGGATCGTACATGCGAACTGCTGAGTCTCATATTAGGACGAAACGGCTGTCAAGTAATTCTAGGTTTTCAATGGTGGTCTAACATTCATCCATTTACGATATCGATTGAAACACAACAATCTCCACAACCCTATATTGATAAGCTAAAAAATGTTATTGGTAAAGTTGAGAACTCATCGAACTGAATTTTAAACTCCAGATATTTGGAAGCCAAGAAAATTTTAACTATGTTTCAGCATAACAAAAACGTCGTTTCGCATTAATTAACATAATTTAAATAATACGCCTTCAGTGGAATTTCACATTATCCTACCTTCCATTAAGTAATGCAGTTTTGTGAACAATTCTCGGTAAACGTAAATGATCATTAAAATTTTCTTTAAAAGAATGATGATATATATATATTCAATTAAAATTACTTTTGAATATATCATTTACAGCCCGTATGCACTGAAGATACTATATTGATATATTCACAGTGGTCAAATTAGAAAACAAATGAACTCAAGGTCACACGTGAAGTCTAATATTCCGGATTTGAATTCAATCGGATTTTAATGATTTCATAAACCAGCTAAGAAATACTTATCTAATAGAAAGTAATTGCTTCAGAGAAACTAGTCTTATCATTCAGTTTAATGTCAGTTTTTATGTGATGATTCACTTGACAATAAAATTTAAGATAACTATCCTATAATAATAAACTATAAGATATGACTATGGCATAACAGATTGTGATACTAATCAATGGTATGATAGGAATAATATGATATTTGGATGCATTTTAATTTAACTAATAAATATGTATATTATTCAATCATTATTTCTCAAATGTTTCGTTATTAAATAAAGTGAGCATATTCAAAGAAACAATTCGGTTAATCTTAGAAAGTTTCCTAAGATAATACGTTTAATATAATCGCCATGTTGGAAGGTACTATTTATAGCCGCCTATTAAATAATTCAGTAACAAATAATTATCTATATAATTTATATAAGGTTCAACTAAGAAACACGAATACAAAGTAAATTAATCATCTTACCTGAATAATAGCAATTTGTGTTTCTGTTTGAAATCGTTTATGATTCTTTATTAATTCTTGTAAATAAACAACAGATCGTGCATCAAAACAATCTTGTCTACATTGATCTAATAATCGTTCATAATACATATTGATCTAAAATTAATCGTATATACAATAATAATCAGTTAATATCTTCTGAATGTAGCATATTTCTAACTTGTAAACCATTATTCACTGAACTAATGACGGTGTTAGGATTTCATTGAGAAATCTATGAATGTGAATACGGTGACAAATATATCCAACAAGTTAACTGAATAACAAAATCTAAAGTGAAACTTTGTTCGTTGCATAACAGTAAAGTAATTATTAGAAGAATATAGAACTGAAGCTAGTGAATATTCATTGAGTTTACTGACAATTTGTTTAATTTGTAGGTGTCATTCATTACAGTGCAGTGACCAGTGAAAATGAAAGAGAAATGGATAGTTGTTGTGTCCTAGTATGAAACTTCTCATAAGGGTGCACGGCCTCACGAAGAATAGAACCCGGTAATTATCCTTGGTTTAACCACATTTCATTATATATTTTGATTCAATCAAATAGAAAATATAGTATGAGTTATAGATAATTGTTGAAAACTGGGTATATTTCTGTGGTCATTATTGACTGGCGATTTCCCTTGACGGTCAATACCTCATTTATTTCCTTTATTATTTTGTTTGTTGAATGTTCAAAAGTACAATTATAAGCTTTTGTGAAAAAAAACACCTACCTCATTGATTTCCATTTAAAATCTCATAATGATAATATGTAATTGAAATACAACCGATTCACATATCAAATCACTCAGCTTAAATTTCTAATTTATTCACATTCCATCAATTCTAATACTGAATCAATGAATGTTTTTAAAACGTTTTATTATACTTTATTAATACTATTGTTAGGCCTCCCAGTGTATTATTACGCTTATTTTAATGAAAAGACAACTTTGTGTTTAGAAAAGGTATACACATCATAAAATTAATCTAGAAATACAAACTGTAGTTTTACTATGGATAAAGTGATTAAACACTTAATTACTTTTTGAATGTTTTATTTTCTATCGTAAATTGTAATTTGATGAATTAAAATTACATTTAACCAAAATCTTTTAAGAATTTCACAGGCTGAAATCATGAGTCAATTGAAGCTAGACCACCATGAAAAACCTGGGAGCACCGGACGGCCGTTTCGTCTAGTATGGGACTCTACGATCTCGCCCCCCGCGGGATTCGAACCCAAGACCTACTTGTTTCGCGCCCAAGCACTTAATCACTAAACCACTGAGCCGGGATCCAACGGTGTTAATGTCTAACTTCAACCAATCCACGAAGTTGAGCCACCGTACACCATTGTCTTCTATGAGTTGATATCTCACAACAGACCTGGTTGAACTCCACTGGTAACGGCTTCTCACTAGAACTCCAGAAGTATCTCCTGAAATCAGTCACTAGTGAGCAGTTGATTGTTATCAGAATGATAATATCTTTAAAGTTATTTGTTATTTCTAGTTGTATAAAACTATTGACATAATTGAAGTTGTTGTAATAGTGAGAATGAATGCAAATATCAAACAACCAACCAGTAAATAAACGGGAAAAAAAATGGTTGGAAACTTTGGATATGACACTTGGTGAAATGTCACAAATGACCTTCAGCCATACTTTTGTATATCATATTAAGCTAAGACAATTATTATTAATTTACTGATAGAAACAAGAACGTAATAAGAAATGTATGATTATTCTCTAATAAATGAATCAGTATAATTTTGGTAAGTTATTCTATCATATTTTTGTATAATTTTAACTATAAACTGTTTAACGATTTAGTTAAACGTAAATGAGTTTTTCAGTTTGGTCCTAGTTATAGATCTATTATGGTTTATAAATCGTTTTATGTCGTGATCTGTTATTTAGTTAACACTATGATATGGGTTATCAATTAAAATAACAACGATACTCATATATATATAGAATTCATCTAGGCTTATATTTTTCCAACTAGATATTGCAAAAAGACAGAAATATTCAAGGCTTATTGATTGTCTAAAACAAAATACAGCAACGCATTTGGTAGATTAATTGTTAAGGGCGTAGAAAACTAACTTTAAATTTTAACTTGACTATTTACGAAACGAAAAAAAACGAAAATCCTACTGAATAATGATTTTAGAAATAATTTATTGTTTACAAAATATCATTAGTTACAACCAACTAATGTGTTGGCCCCCAAATGCCCTGGTACGGTCGAGAGTGGGGAGAGTCCGCTCTCCCTCTCCAAATGCTCTCACATGGCCACGCGTATTTAGCCTCTGCCAGGGAAGTCCTACTCACTGCTTTATCGTGGCGGGGTTGTTGTTTACGAAAATGAGAGGATGAAAAGCGAATGTCCGGCGCTTTAACCGGATTCCAAAACAATGGTGCATATGGGCTCCAGTATCCTGTTGAAACAAATGGCGTACGAACCAATTGTTGGTCACCGGCTTCCATGGGACTGCATCACCTTACGATGCTCCACTGCCTTGTGGATTAGACCTTCAGGTCGAAGGCTCGGGGAGTGGCCCCCTAAGAAGACCACCTGCTTCGGTTTGGGCACCCGAGCAGTATCACAGCCCTCACACATATCGAATGAGATTTGTGTGGCGCATATGTATTTGATGCCTCCTTGTACCAATATCTATGTTTTAAAATAAATAAATAAACTAATTTGTTAATCTAACCTTGATGTGATTTACCAGCAAATAACATAATAGCTAAGATTAAAGTGATTTGATGACTTTCAACAAATATTGGTTAGTTTTGAATTTGTGTATTATTTTTTTCAAAGTGATTAGGTACTAAAATATATGGTTGAAAATGTCCTATATAGAGAAGTTTTCATTGTGAATTGACTTCAACTCGTGAGCCATTGAAAATCCAGGGAACATATTGGACAATTGTTTAATCCTATTGCGGAACGTCTTAGTAGTGTTGAGATATATCCAGTTAAATATCAAACATGATGTGATAGATCATATTAAAACAATTCTAAAATTATCATTATTCATATTATAAAAATGTCATAAGAAAAATAAGTTAAATACACATTATTTGACAGACCTCATTCAATAAATCAATTAAATTAACTGAAGATTCAAAAGCTAATAATAAAGATGATCTTCCAGATATTGATGAACTTGTACGATTCTTTTCATTTTTATGATTTACAAAAGATGAATTACCATTCAATGTTAGTCTCTGTGAATTATTATCATCATAATCTTCAGTACTATTAAAACTAATTTCATTATCATTCAATGAGTTAATTGTTTGAATACTATCATTTGTTTTAATACAGTTAACAGTTGAAAATACATTAGTTTCTATATTATTTTGTCCAGTTCTATGATCATTATTGTCCAAATAAGGTTCAGCAACTATTGCTTCCATGGAAGAGAACAAATTTTGTTCAGATATATTTAAAAAGCAAATTTGTAACGCTGGATTATTTTTCTAAGAATGAAAAAGAGAAAACAACAACAACAACAAAACAATGGATGAATTGTATGTTTATAAATTACTTATATTTTAGTGATTTGAATAATGAAAAAAAGAAAAAAATAAGGGAGAAAAATCTAATGTTTATAACTTACATTAATTTGTAAATGAAATACCAATCCATTTGATTTAAATTAGTGTCATTTTATTATTTAAAGAATTATAATCACTTTTTTACAGCATTCAATAATTAGATTTACATCCTAACTGACAGTTTACAAGTTAAAATAATAAAATCAGATCTAACTAGATCTGTAATTTTAATAAATAAATAAATAAATGGAATTGTGTACAATCATAATGAAATAATCAATCAATCAACCAATAGAAACACAACTTGCATATGATTGGATAATTATGTATTTCAAGGTTATTTGAAAATTAGTAATAAATTAATTTACAATATAAAATAATTAATTATAATTTGTAAATAAGACTTTAAATAGTCTTAGATTACAATAATATTATACATAAAATGGATTGTTATCAGTGTTGACATTTTTATGAATGTAAGTGAACAACACATAAAATGCAGATATATTTCATATATTTATGAATATTTAGTGTTTATTATCAAAACGACTTTAATTGTTAGAATAAAAAAAGCAATATGACAATGAAATACTTTTCTTCAAGAATTTCCAGTGATTTTTTTCTGGTTGGCGTTGAAAAACATCTGGAACTAAAAATAACTGTCAGCTAACATTAAAGCCAGAATTATCAATACAAATGGTAAAACATTTCTACTGTATGGGGCGGAAACCTAGAGAACTACGAAAGCAGTCATTCAGAGGATATAGGTGTTTATTAAGAGATGCCTACGCGAAATACTTCGGATCTGTTGGCCAGACATCATCAGCAACAACCTATTGTGGAAGAGAACAAACCAGATCCCAGCGGAGAAAGAAATCAGGAAGAAGCTCTGAAAGCGTATAGGAAACATATTGAGGAAAGCATGCAACTGCGCTATAAGGCAAGCCTACACATGAAATCTTCAAGACCAAAGGGGAAGAGGAAGACCGAAGAACACATTACGTCGAGAAATGGAGACAGATATGAGATAACATAAGCTGTCTACTGATGTCTACAAAATAGTTCGTATTCACCTGACATTCTAAGCACTGACTATTTAAAATCAAGAGAAACACTTTAAAATGAATTCTTAGTATGCTAGTTTTAGAATCAGAAGAGAGTCAGTATTGAAGAGTTGTTAAATCTTTAATTGAAATTTTTCATGCGAATGAACAATGAAAATGTCAAAATTCTTAGTTAAGAGCATTTTAAGAATGCTGAAGAATTTCTGTAAATATTCCATATAGAACAATTAACCGGATCTATTAACCAATACGGAGAAAGTTAATCAACCACATGATCAATGGTCAAACGAACAAGATGGTAAGCTTGAATACAAGGGTAAATAAAAACAATGAAGCCTGAGAAAACAACCAATTAAAGACAAGACCAATAGAACGAACTGACTTAACGCTTGTGGAATAACCAAAAATTTCACTCATAAAAAAAATTTAAATAGAATAAACGTTGATGACGTGATAGGATGAAAAAGAAAAGTTCACAATTCAACGATCTGCCTGTTTACAAATGCTTAAAAATATCTATATAAAGTGTCATAAAAGATTGATACCATTGTAATAAAATCTCCAGGTAATCATAATATCATTTACCCAATGTGACAATTTAATAATTTATATATAAAACTTTTATGAGTTTATAATAAAGCATAAACCTTACTATGTTTTAATGGTAATTTACTACTTCATCACTATCAACTTATATGATGCCAATCGGGACTCTAATTTTATGGAATATATTTGTTACGTCTTTGATCTGTCTACCCACTTTTGTACAGTGGATATTTGGCTAATCTAGATTAAGACCTTGACGCGATAGGCTGACCAGCTTAATCTTGAGGCTAGTATGCGTGAGTTCGAAGTGGAGTAGAGAAACGAAAACTATGCTATCACCTGATTGGCTGACAAGTGCGCAAGTAAGAGAAGACAAGTCAACTGGAACACTACTCAATTTATTCCCAATTCTGATTTGGTTGCTGATTTCATATTAGTCTAAAAGTGTACATAAATAAATAAATGACTAACCTGACTATTGACAGATAATTCCCATTTAAACATTAAAATTAAAACACGAAGTTCAATGAAGGGATCTCTTTTCAGCGAACTTATTATCAAGCTGTACAATCGCATATATATGAAAATTTTGTTTTTGTAAAAGTACTAATTCCGTGAGGAAATGTGAACACAGTTAATAAAAAAGGTTATAATACTAGATTACGTAATACGAATAATAACAATAGATTTAGTGAATATAATAAGATGATTAAAATGAATAAAAATGTTTTTGTCAACCGGTGTGCACATACACAATATTGAAGCTATGTGGTCGAGGCTGAAAGTTTTTGAGACTTTATCATGGCTCCAGAGGTTGACTATTCTGTAACCGTATGGATGATTTCTTCTACTGCATGCATTACGATTTTAGAACCTCAGAAACTCTTTCTAACCTTGACACGTTTTTGAACCATGTATAAGAAGTGTATCCACTTTATTTCCTTGGTTTTGGATAACATATTTTTACTTTATACTGACTGTTTGCTGATTGGCTAATATTCATCAAGGTCACTTAAGATTCGTTCAAAGGTCGTATATAAATTAGTGTCTCGCCACTTTTTCTAATCTAATGATCCTATTACCAATAATTGTCAGGTGTCAAATAATTCCATTTCTGTTTTCTTTCAGATGGGCCAATATTTACGTTAATGAAATTACTAATTACTTTCAATGAAATACGTTCATTTGCTTTGATAATATAACGAATGAATGAATGAATGAATAATTCACAAGCCTAAATATTTATATTATTAAAACAAATAAAGTAATCTGTTATAATTAATAAAAAGATCTATCAATCATTCTGAATTAAGTATACTATTAAAAATGTGTTATATACCACCATTATTAGCAAATATAGATATACAAACATAAGTTTAATTCATTAGTAAATGATCATAGAATAATACATAAAAGAAGAAAAAAGGAAAGAAGATAAAACAACAACAACAACTAAAGAAAATGCATCGATTTATTGTGTTGAGTAGTTAATTATTCATACAGAAAGAAAAATTGATTTTTTTGTGTGCTTAACTATTACTCTTTTACATTCACACTTTATTCTGGTAATTTAATGAATGGTTATACTTATAAATAGTCATTAAATTTATTCGAAATCATGAATCGATTTAAGTTAGATTATGATTGAAAACCTGGAAGGAATGAACGGTCATGTTGACTTAGGATGAGATTCTTTGATAATAAACATCCATGACCCTCCTTAGAGGAGTTGAACTTGAGACTTTTGGTCTCACAAATAAATCCTTAACATTTAGACTAATGAATCGGGTTTAAATGGTGTATCAGCTTAACTTTAATCAATCCACAAACGTGTACTTTTAGTGGCCCTATTATCTGACTCCAACTAAATCATAAATATATATCCTGGCTATCCTCGTTTATTTTTATAGAATTAACGTGTGTTGGTGAATAATAGAATTTAAATAAGTCAAATACGAGAATGAATGTTTGAATACGTATATTTTGTATAGTCGTTGACCCGAACAGATAATCAGAGAATCGCAGCGAATGAAGCAAAGAGAAGGCGAAGCGAAACGAAAGGACGAGCAATGGAAAAGGCGCGTGAACCAACTCCATTTAATCAAGCGTTAATATTTGTAGCCAGATAAAATAAGTTACAGACATATGATGAATAGGATCAGAAGTGTACACACACATACGCTCATATAAAAAGTCAGGGTTGATAAGTGAATAACTGACATGATCAAAACGTGACTCAAGAAGAATGGATAAATTTACCTGTCCTGAAGGTAGAATAAGTTATGTGGGCTTGACATAGTAACGGACACTACAAAGTGATAATCATCAAATGCTCACTAATAACTATCTTCGAGAGGAAACATCCAGATATTTAGTGATAAGTTGCAACCAATGAAGCTAAAGTGTGTCAAATATATGGAAGGCAGCTACTGAACACAGTGGAAAATAGTCACGAAATATAAAAGAATGGTTACACCCCGGTTCAATGGTCCAGAGGTTAGATGTTTGCGCATGTGAGATTTGTAGAGGGTTAGATCCTCGTTTTTCAGAGTCACGAATTCTCACTAGTGAAGAGTCCTACACTAGAACGAAACGGCTATAAAGTTCTTTCAGTTTTCCAATGACTGCTTAACTTAGATTAGTCTTAGATTTAATTTTTCACATACCATACTAATAATAAGACTTAATTGGAAAAGATTATGTCGTTCTATAACTAAGTTATTGATCATTAGCAAACGTTTGTCATCATGACACTAACTAAGATAAATTAACCTAAGTCATTAATATTCTAATTTCTGCAGGGCACTTGATTCGTAGCTAATTATCTCGCATATTTATGATTTCATCAGTAGACAACATCTCACACAATAATATAAGTGATTACGAATGAGACTGTTTCAGTCTGACCTATAATTATATTAATAATGTAAACACGTTTTTAGCTTAGCTTGAAGATTTGTGTAGATTTTGTTTTGTTTTTTTAAATCGGAGGACAGGTCTTACCATAGACTGATAATAGCAAATCTTGTGTAGGTGGATATTTCAAAGATTGAGTGATTTGTGAAGTTTACTAAGAGTTATCTCATCCTGCCAACAAGAAACACTTAATTGTTGGCAAACTTGACTAGTCTTTCTCAGTATTGTAGTCAGCAAAATAAGAATAGATGGAATGTAGTTGGCAGTGGAATTCAGGACGCCCATTTCATCCCTAGATGGATAATACCTGCATCCCGGAGTTGATTTTGTAGGAAAAATAAAATAAATAAATATGTATAACGGCGAGACTATAATTCATGAACGAATAAATGAAATTGAAGATAGTAAGTATAGGATTATGGAGATAAATTCATTCATCTATAAGGTTAAATGAAATTTTGGTGTTGTAGCTGATGTCAGTTCGTGATAAAAATCCTGACCCTAACTCCAACTCTTATTCGTAACCCTAACTTCTAACTCAATATTTTTCTTTTGACCTTAGTAAGGTGGCGAATTTTCTCAAGGTCACTAGTGTCCATCAGAGGTCATTCATAAATTAGTCTCACTATAGTCTTATGTAGATTAAAAACACCAAAACTATTTTATGTATCATATATGTAATTGAGGGAAGATTTTGGACTTGTTATTTGCTCAGTGAATAGGTTTTTTTTAATGTATCCTTTACACAGTATACTTTTACGAAAACTGACTTATCAGCCTATCAGTTAGGGTTTTCGACACTAAGATTAATTAAGTATTCTTGTATCATAAATACGAAAATTCTAAAAGAAGTCGTGATTTAGTAGTCTGAGTCACAAAAACCAAAATCAGTAGAGGAAAAAGGCTATAGAATAAAACACGAGAGGTGATAAATACGAGGAACAAAAATTGAAATATAACTCAGGAGTAAGATGTGTTTAATAAGGAAAATTTTAATAAGACAACAATAAATACTCAGAACACCAGTGAAATATAAAAACAAATTAAAACTGACGTGTGAAACATAAATCACTGTTAATATGATTAGGATTTAGTGATCAAGAGCAGTAACCACCAAGGTGGCTTAAAACTTTGCTAACATGTATTTTTAAAGAATATTTCAAATTTAATCGATGAACATTATCATTAACATAAACTTGTATCAGAAAATAAACCAAATATATGAAAACATCCTGATCAAAAATTAAATATAGGGGATGGACTATATTAACTTTGTACTAGCTAAAGATGAGTGCCGTCAAAGTAAATTACAAAAGGAAAAGTGCACTACTAAGACTTGAAGTGGATACTTGATTGGTTCTCTACCAGTTTGTATTCTAAGCGTGGAACTAAAAAATAAATAATGTCACTCTTTTAAAACTTTATTTTTTGGACAAATTGTTAGGTATCATTTTAATCTTAAGCACAATCATTTAAGCCCATATGTAAGCATAAGACTAGAAGCTCACCTGATGTTTTTGGTCAATCCATGATGGTCTTGATTCCAACCATTCTTCAACTTCGCGACAAAGATCAGAAGGTCTACTTATTTTCGGAGAACTGCTGTTGCTCACCGGCTGAAATTGAGCAAAAACGAAGATATTACCGATCTGTTACATAAATGTGACTGTAAACAATTAGACCACGAGAAAAATTATGCAGCCATAATGGAGCTCAGGTCATATAATGAACAACATACGGGTTTACTGGAAGATTTAGAGAAAAAAAATGTCTAGTTTATGAAATCAGTTCTCGAAAATGAGTACCATACAATAACAATAAGACGGAGATTGAAGTAAATAATCTCTGTAAAATTATCTACATGAAACGATACTCTGAATGTAGGCTTGTAACAAAAACCACATTGTGATAGTATACGAACAGAACAAAAACAAGCGAATAAACTGAAGAAGTGACCAGCAATTAAACGAATCATTTCATTTTCTACATATGGATTTCGCTCCTCAATTATGAAAACATTGAACCTCAAAAAGTCTGGTCAGTTTTGTATCAGTTTAGCATCTCATCGTCACTAATTATAAATTCATAGTACTGGTGAAACTCATGTTTGCTGTGACATGAACAACAGAATTCACTCTACTTACACGACTGGGAAGGCTAAAATTTTAATGATACATGTCAGTCAGTTGCTGACTATGTTGAACTTGATATAAGTGTTTATTAATCCTGCTTGCTACCCATTAGATCAGTCTATTAAGTATAAATATTGACAAAGTTAGATGAAGAGAATAATAAATAATATTCATCAAAGTGGATAGTTAAACCCTGTAAATATAGTTTCAGAGAAACGAATGGGATCGAAGCATGAAAAACACCAAATAAAGATAAGGAATGAATGTGACTGTACCACTGCGATATAATTTGGGGTATGTTATCCAACACCTTTAACCAAAACTACTCATATACGCCTTAGCTTAGAAGTCAGCATACACCATTTTGGATCATCTATCCAGTCGACATCTTCATTTCCTCACTTCTAGCGTTTATTCAGTCAATCCTAATGCCAACTAGCAGTATTTGACCTCATATGTATTTGTTGAACATTTCCTAACTTCCTGATTTTACAGTTTATGGGTTCGTCAATCGAATTTTACTTTAAAATTTCGAGTCAAGACTCAGCGAATTATCTAACAAACATGGTGACATAGTGATTCATTTTATTTCGGCAATTATGTTTTATTATTTAAATCATGAAGAGACAGATGCAAAAGACAACATGATAAAATAAGAAAATATTCTACACAACTATGTTTAGTATTGTTTTAACTGATGATATTCATTCATAGTTTTCCTATCATTCGATTTAATGATTTGGTCAACACTCTCCATGAAATCCCAGCAAGACTATTATATACACCATAAAATATGTATTTCGAAAGCGCTTCTAACTGATAATATCGATTATTTCAAATAACACAACTAAACTTATGCTAGTCAAACATCAAGTTATTAAATGTTTGTATTAACTTATATAACAAAAGTTGTTAAGAAAAGTCCATTAACTAGTCCTGAGAGAAAATTTGCAGCATTTGCTCGAGCCAAGTGTATACACGCCACAAATCACAAAAAATACCGGGGTTAATGTTTCCTGTGTTAATTAGTTTAAATTAATTATCACTATCACCAGTCATATAGTGTTCTGCTGAACACAATCAAACTATTAGTTGACTTTAAATGGGAACTAAGCCAAAAGTGTGGGAATATTTAGAATTAAAATCAATAAGAAACAATCGCTATGCTTTCACAGCCAGATATTTAGAATCAATTTTTGAGTGGTCCCAAATAATATGAATTTAATTCTTACTACTAGTTTTATATTCAGTAGTTCATCTTATTGACCGAAATTTCTCAGGACATCAATAACGTAACCGAATGGTCAGCTGAATAAACCGGCATGTCAGTGTTAATGTTCACAAATAGAAAAGCAAAGAGCGCGCCTCCTGGATTTTCCTGCTAGCCATTATTCAACATTATTTAATCTTGTAACTGGAAATATCGAGATTTTCCTTTGACGGTGCACAAAAGGACAATGATCGATCCTTAACGTGAAGAACAGGAAAATACGACCCATTACAAATGTTATTGTTGTTAGGATTAAAGATATTGTGAGTGATATTTGTTTAATGAAGTAAAATTGTCTTCACTGACGTTCTTTTTTATTGATAAACTGTTTCCACTACTGAAAACCTGGGAGCCCTGGACGACCGTTTCGTTCTTGTATGGGACTCATCCATGACAGTGTACATCCACGATCCCGCACTCATGACTCGGAACCAGGACTTTCCGTCTCACGAGCGAAGGCCTAAGTTCTAGACCACTGAGCCAGTATCCAACGGTGTTAATGTCTAACTTCAATCATCCACCATTGTTTTCAGTGAGTAACTGCCTCACAACAGACACGGTTGAACTCCACTGGTTATGGCTTCTCTTTATTACTCCAGGAAATCCTTCTTAAACCCGGTCACTAGTGAGCACATGATAATTTTCAGTATAGGGTCGTGGTCTAACCTTGTTCCATTCATGATATCAATCTAAACTCAACAAATTCGAGAACCCTATACTGATAATCTGTTTCCAGTTAAAAGTTAACCACTTATGATATCGGTTAAATATATTCTATCAATAAATAGTCCAATTTACAAAACGCAAAGATTATATTCCAACTCTGAATTAACAAGCTAATTTAGATATTCTGTGATATGTGCTACTGATTTCGACAAATATAAGTAGTATTTATCATCAATGCCTGGCGGCACAAGGTTAAGAAGATCGAAGAGAAGAGAACGAGAATCGTGAATGATTTGTGTGGGAAAAAAAGGAACAATCAAGTTTGAGACGACTAATTAACATTTTGCAAAACAAGTATTTACTGTATGGTAATCAGATTTTGTTAAGACCTGTAATTTTGTATTCAAATACATTCGATTATCCTCGCCTGAGTTCTCGTTCATTACAATTCCATAAATAATTGTTTATAATATGTAGGCAGTGAAACATGGCCGGTAGGAGTAGAGGATATCCGTAGGTTACTAGTATTTGACCATAGGTGTCTTCGAAATATTGCTCGTGTATCCTGGGATCATCGAGTAAGTAACGCAGTTGTTAGGAAACGGGTACTAGGTAAGGATGGCAAATCAATAGATGAAGTAGTGAAACTTCATCAGTTGAGATGGCCAACGTTTCCACAACCACCGACTGCCCCGACGTGCGACGTTTCATGGTGTAGGAGTAGGTTGTGAGAAAGCTAGGAGTGGCCAGACCGAAACATGGCACAAATCCATAAAATAAGTGACAAGTGGTTTGAGCCATATTGGTAGGTGTAGACTATCTGGTTGAGATCTGCGAGATGATAGCAACTGATGGTTAGAGACCCTGAGTGACATGGATGAAAATAGTTTACAATGAAGCAGATGTATCCACTGCTTGTGTTCTCTCGAATTTTAATCCTCTGAATTCTTCATTTCCCTTTTTTTCTCTTTCTGAATTTCTTTCACTGTATTATACTCTTGTAATAACATCTTCAAACCCTAATCTTTCTGATTACTGCTTATACTCTTACCACCTCTACCACTACGGGATTTGAATCGACAACTCGAACTGTTGTACGTCTGTACGAAGTTCTACGTTGTTACTGATTGACTGATAATATGTAAACAATCATAGAAATGCATAAATGATAAGAAATAGAAAATTTAGTGAATCATTAATTATGATTTCAATATTTTCGATTTGATCACTGATTATTCATTTGTTAACAACAGATAAGTCACATGTACGTTATATCATTCTAGTAAAATAATTTTGTATATAAATAATTGTTTTCATTATCTAGTAATTATTTTCTTGCAAAATCTATCGATTTTTAATTCAGAGATTAATTTTATGAGTAGATTTTCATCAGTAATTATTAAGTGGTTAAGCGCTCGCATGCGAAACTGATAGGTTCTGGGTTCGAATCTCACGAGGCGGGATCGTGGACGCACACTACTGGGGAGTCCCACAGTAGGACGAAACAGTCGTTCAGTGCTTCCAAGTTTTCCATGGTGGTCTAGGTTCAAATGACTCATGATCTCAACTACTAAAATTATTTAAGTATTATTTTTCAATGGTTAAGATCATGAGTCAGTTGAAGCTAGACGACCATGGAAAACCTGGAAGCACTGGACGGCCGTTTCGTTCTATTGTGGGACTCCTCAGCAGTGCGCATCCACGACCTCGCCCCCTGCGAGATCGGAACACAATACTCACTGGTTTCGCGCGCGAGCACTTAACCATTAGACCACTGAGCCGGCATCCAACGGTGTTAACCATTGAAATTACCATAATATCCACAAAACCCATACGATATTATTTTTCAGTATTTTCTTCATATCAATGAACTGTTCCGTTTAACAAAAATTGAACAAGCTAAAATATTATGGATAGTAAAATATGTTTAAAGAGTTTTACAGTCTGAAACACAATAGTGAATTCTGCTGAATCAGCTCTTCATTCAGTTCTGCATCATAATTACAATAATTTACGATATGTTTTCTTATTAGACGAGACCAGAAAAATAATATCCGATTATACTTATTGTTATATTATATCTCTTATTATTAATAATAATAATAATAATAATAGTCGTAGTGACTCTAGAATGTCTTATATGAACTTTAGACTAATACTAATAAACCATACGGTGTGGAACGAATGCGTCATTTTTACCTTGCTAATGATATTCTATTCATTTTAAGTAGGACTGGTCTTCTATATATTTATGCCTTTTATGTTTGTCTTCATCGATTATATGTATTTACTTTCATGGGATATGACTATCCACTTGTATATATTATACCTCGACAGACTTAAGCATAAATCTCTTTATGTATATATGTTTATTATTTACTCTATTTGTTGTCTATTTACTGGCTTACATTTCTTTTTATTTGAACTATATAAGATGAGTCACTAGATTAGTTGACGAGTTAGTGTATTGCCAATCCTCAATGCTATTCACCTATATTCTGTTTTCTGTTTATATGTATATTTGAAAGAAAGATATCTAAAACACAACCCTTATTCAAACTTTTACATAATATTTACGAGGTTAGATAAGGATCTTTATTTCATTCACATAATTCATCATCAATACGAGTCAACTCAATACATTATATTCTTACTCAGATATATAAATAGATAGAACCAAATACCACTTTATGGTTAGATTAACAACTTGGACATACTATTTTTTATTCCAGAAAAAGTAACAATCATTATAATTACTTCATGACTGATTATTGTGCTTATATGTTGCAACATACAACATTAAAAATTCATTTATTCGTTTATCTTGAAAAGAGCAAGAACAAAGATTCTAGCAGAATAGTATGAATACATTTTATTTCGTTAGTTCTCGTCAACTGCTTATAACCTGTGATACCTTGTAATCTTTCAATAACTTAATCAAAGGTTGACAAGTACCCGTTTCATGTTACTGCCAACTGTATTTATAAATTTACGCGTACGCGCCAAAGCATCTACATTGGCAGAACAGAAAGCAGGGCATATCTTAAATTTTTTAAACATGTTCCAAAAAGCCTTATAACAATAGAAAGATTCTAAGCGGTGCAGTCACCAAACATCTTGATACAGGGTATCAGCTCTACACCTTTCAATCTTTCAAGGTGATTAGTAAGCAGACAAACTCCAGTCTTCTTACGTTTGCTAAATCCATCGCTATCAGGAGTCAAAAGCAGATGGTTATTAATCTTTCCTTGTTTTGGTGACAAATGTTTCTTCGTTGCATCTTAAACTTTTTTAAAAAGCTTTTTCTTGCATTTATTAACATCATTGAGTTTTGTTTCAACTATCTTCGGAATTAGTATTCTTATTTTATCAGCCGAGCTCTTCTCATTTTATTCCTATCAGCGTTTACTCATTATGTAATCACTTGTTTCTGGCAATTTGAACTGTTGTCATAATCAATGTTGTAGAATGTACTTTTACATAAGTTATATATTTACAACATTCACTCTATTAAACTTATTTACACCCTTGCTATACTATAACTAATGTTTCTTCAATATAACTTCCAATGAAACCCTTTCATGTAAGTGATTTAAACCTGTTATGTAATTATGATTTTTAGATATCACAGATTGTAAACATCTGACGAGAACCAACGAAATAAAATGAATTCATACTATTCTGCTAGAATCTTTATTCCTGCTCTTTTCAAAATGATAAAGGGACTTCAAATATTTGTCATGCAAAAAGTATTTCACAAAACTTACAATATCTAATGAAAGAGAACATTCCATAAATCTACTTTGATCAGCATTCTTCCTTATTTGGATAGGTGAACCCCATTCAGGCATCTTTTTATTATCTGATGTTGAAAAGTCTTTAGAAGTTATCAGTTCCTGTAAATAAAAAAATGTTATTTTAAATGAGATTTGTCAAATTCTTCAAACATTATTTTGATGATTTCGACTACAGAACTTAATGCTCTAGTCAGTATATAATGGTCGATAATTCCAAATAAACCGGAAGCTAATATAATCATTTAAAAACTTCTTATTTGAAACATATCTATTCATCATAGTAAGTGGTGACAGTTGTTCTAAGATTCAAATTCACCATCAATCGCTTAAGAAATAGATCTCTATTCATCAAAGGATTGAGTTGTGATGCCTGCTTGTAATTAGATCTAGATTATTTTAAAACAGATTGAATTTGGAGCATTGGAATAAATCTTATTGTTGAATCTTAAACAGAAGGAAACACAAGTATTTAATTCCAGCGATACATGCTATTGAATACATTTCATGATTTTTTAGTTTTAGCGAATACTTAATCATTCAATCCTGATTTAAAGAACTTAAAATTAAATGATTCTGAGTCATTGCAGCTAAAGTCATCAACCACTGATCACAGTTATCATGGGGTTCCTGACCAGTTATGCTTCATCTAGTGACAATCACTTAGAACAATAGTCAATGATTTCTTGGAGTGATGCTATGTCTTGGTTTGGCAGTCTCTAATTTTCTTCCAGACCACTTCTGCACCAGAAAACTCCATGTCTTGAGGTAGTCAGTGTCTAGTCATCCGTGACACTTGTTCTGATCACCTCAGTCAAAAAACTTCAGTCCATAAATATCCTCTACTTTTAGTGATTATGTCTCACATTGATGGAACAATACAAATATGATTACTAATGGGCGATATATTCGTCCGTTGGTTGGCAGAAAGACAGCCTACAGTAATTTATTAAACTGATTCCTTAGCTTGATTATAACTTAAACAGAATGTTTTGGACTAAACTAATAAAAAACATGTATAAAATATGACCAATAAAATACCTCTCTTCTTTGGACGCCCGCATAATAAAATCTGTCACGTATGGATTATAATTCATTTAGCTGTTAGTTGACAAATTATTTGTTACTTGCAGACAACTTTGGGAATTCAACATTCAAAATTGATTTGGATAATTCAAATACATAAAGTCCTCGTAAGTGGAAATTCTATGAATCTGGGAACAGTACTAATTTTAACGCGAGAGATACTAATTGGAAATGATTATACTACTTATCAGTAGTCAAACTCTTTGTCACAGCAAACTATCTTTTACCAAATCGTAGCGAAGCATCATTGCATTATTGGTAAATGGAGTTCAATAGTTGAAATCATGAGTCAAATGAAGCCAGATAACCATGGAAAACATGGAAGCACTGGACGGCCGTTTCGTCCTATTGTGCGACTTCTCAGCAGTGCACATCCACAGTCCCGCCCCCGAGAGATTAAAATCCAGGTCCTATCAGTCTTGCGCGTGAGAGCTTAACCATTAGACCACTGAGCTGATATTTCACAACAGACCTGGTTGAACTCCACTGGTCACGGCTTCTCACTAAAACTCCAGGAAATGCCCCCCTCGCGGGGGGCGGGGTCGTCGATGCTCACTGCTGAGGAGTCCCATACTGAGACGAAACGGCCGTCCAGTGCTTCCAGGTTTTCCATGGTGGTCTATCTTCAATTGACTCATGAGTTCAACTATTGAAATGATTAAAATCTCCACAAAACCCCTTCTGAAAATAGAGTTCAGTTGATATAGTTTATTTACATATATTTTAGATATGACTACATAGTGATTAGAATATTACAAGAGTACAACGAACTATTAATCTAACTGCGAATCTAAAATAAGCAGCGTGGTTGCTTTCCAGAAGTAATTAATGTCCAAGTACACCATTAGATGCCAGCTCAAGGGTCCAGAAGCCAAATCGCGAAATCATAAATTCTAAATTCAACTCTTTGATCCAGACTTGTGCGCGCATACTGATAAGGAGCTCCACACCAGGGCGAAACGACAGAAAAGTTCTGCTAAGTTTTCAATGGTAGTTCAACCTAAGCCAGTTCGTGACTTAATAAATGAAAATATAAATTAGTGTATAACCAACAGTAATAAACATAGAATTCATAATGGATTCTTCTTCGCTGAATATTTGACTAAAAACCAACTGAGTTACTCACAGCAAATTACAAATTTGTATCGTTAACTCTTTATATAACTAAAGACATACCATTCGTTTTTTATTTTTCTCTTCAGCTCTTCTTAACGCAGCCTCAAATTTAGTTTTTGGTTCTGCTCCTTTTATAATATCTTCATCTCCACTATCATCCCATTCACTTAAGTATTTAAAAGTTTTCTCTTCAACATTCTGTACTTCAGAGGAAATACGTTGACATGACTGAATATGATTTACAGATGAACAACTGTTTTGACAAAATAAAAAATCTGATTCAATCGAATCAAGTCCACTCTGCAAAAATTGAATATTAAAGAAAAAAGAAATCAAATTGAAGATGATCAGTCAATCATCATTTATTTGTTATTATACTCGCATCACTTCTCCATTAGTTGTATAAATTAGCTCGAAAAACCATTCATATACTTAGGAATATATGATAATTTATTTTCAGACTAATGACATTTTAACCAATAATACAGTCGGGTGATTGCTAGATGCTAAAATTAGAATTATTTGTGGAAGAAACATATCTTTGTAGTAAATGAGAAGTCTTCATCATCTAATGTAAAATCAGGAAGAAGAGCTGGAAGTGGATAGAACACACATTGAGGAAAGCACCCAACTGCGTCACAAGACAAGCCCTCACATGGAATCCTCAAGGCCAAAGGAAAAGAGGAAGACCAAAGAACACATTACGCCGAGAAATGGAGATAGACATGAGAAAAATGAACAAGAATTGGATGGAATTAGAAAGGAAGGCCCAGGACAGAGTGGGTTGTAGAATGCTGGTCGGCGGCCTATGCTCCATTGAGAGTAATAGGCGTAAGTAATGTGTAACTATACTGCCACACTATATAACCGTTAGAAATTAAAGGAAAATTAGCGAATACAGGGAAATTGAAACATCCATATTCTTTTGTCTGATAGGCTTGTTAGTAAGTCTTATCGGATAGAAAACTAAATTTATCGTCCATAGTTTATAGTTAAATTCTGAATACCAGGAAAATTAATCTGATATTCCAATGTGATGATGAACATTTGAAAGAAGTGCAAAAAATCCACCATATGCAAGTCATTTGCGTTTTGAAAATGTAATAAACATGAAGATTTTAGTACGTAGAGGTAGAAAATGCTTTTTTTAGTGACAAAGATCATTTTTTAAGACAACATCCAAATATATCAACAGTGACCTATTATGGGGTCTAACAATAAAAATGTGAAATTCTCGACGCATCGGATTCCAAAACTATGATTAATTTTGTCAAAACAATAATAACAAAAGTAAAACTTTATTTGGAATGAACAGAATATCCCAAAAAATAAAGGTTTAAGTATGAATGATGTTATAAACTGAAATCAAGTGGCCGGAACATTTCGGCGTAACTACACTCATTAGGAGTAACAGGCGTAAGTAAGTAAGTAAGTACACTCAGTAGTAACTTCTCATAATTGTATGTCAATCATGGTTCTCAGATACTCAAACTTTTATCGACGAAAAAGTGATGTAAGATTTCGGAATTCAACTTAGCTTCACAGATTTATTGTTTGGCGCACTAGTCAAATTTACCTTAGTATTGAGTACTCGGTTTATGGTAACTTCATTTATAAAAACATTAGTCAACTTAAAATATTACTCAATCAAACCATGGGACTTAGGGTTCTTGTAATATTTGTGTAGTCTTTCGAAAATCATATAAAGATGAGTCGTCTAATTTACACCAATAACTTTACGCCCAAACTAAAATTTCTACCAATAATTTAATATTTATGCATAGATTACGAACATTAGAATTTTAGGATTTTCACCTGTGAACGAAATATCGGTCTACAACTCACCGATTCTCAGCTATAGTAAAACCAACTATTTTAAACAATTTATTTATGAAGAAATTCCTATTACAAATGGTCTATGTACAGTAGATGGTCCGAATAGAAGAAATGATTGACCAAAAACCTTCTTTCCTTTCTAAGTATATATTGTAGGACTAAACATTTATGACAACAACAATATACTACTGTTAAAATTTAACGATAACATAACAGCTCAAAGCAGCAAAAGTGATATTTGTCTTCATTAGTTTATATTATTTGGTTGTATTTTGTAATAACCATGGGAGAAATGATCACAGTGGAACTGAGTATGCCCAGTCGACCAAAGACACAATAAAATATTATAGTGACAGAATAACATTAAAACATAAAGTTTGCGTTAATATAAATTTAGTATGATAATAAAATGAAGAGTTCTAATATATCAGTGGTATTTATTATTCAAATCCCATAGGTGTGTCACCCAATTTGTTTCAAAAATTGAGATTACATAATATTAAATGACCCACTTATTCGGCCTGTGATTACCATTTTTAACTTTAATTTCAACATAGTACTACTCTATTGTAATTGAATTATAATTATAGGACTGTAATAAACTCTAAATTAATTCATATGATTTATATATTTCTACATTTTGCTATTATAAACATACGTATATATATATCAAAGTAAACATGATGCCGAGTAATTACACTTCTAACACTAGAATTTAGATCAGTGTAAACTAGTTTCATCTAGGTAATAGTAACGAGAACAATACAGACTTTTCTCACAGACATTCAATTTATTTAGACTAATTGTCTAACTTGAAAAATCTGTAGGCAAAAAACACAAACATATACCTGATAACTACACTTTCATACATAGTAGACATAAAGCGAAATAGTGTGTATATAAATTCGTACATAATGTTTATACACAAAAACAAATAGCTAATAAATAAAAACATTCCTTGAACAAGTGTTGTTCACAAAATGTATATACAGCGACAATATACTCTACTAATTGGACAGTTAAAAACAGTTTCATTTAACACATAGAAGTTGTCGGAAAAATAGCTGTTTGTAAGAAAATTGACGTTTTATTCTTATCTTATGACCATCGGTTAAAAGGTATTGTATTATTACATCATGTATAATTTCGTTTGTAGACTCGAATAACACTTTTTCTCCTAATACATGCTGAAAATCGCATAACGTATAATATATTGATAACGGGGGGGGGATTTAATTTATTTAATTAAATCACGTATCATGTTTGAAAATTAACCGTAATTCAATAAGTACGAAAGGGATAGATAAACATGATATTGATCATCACTTAGTGATCAATCAACGGTAAATTAGGTAACATCTAGTACAGTCTAACTAACTGTGAGTTGCCTAACCATTTAATTTTAACAGGAATTAAGGAATAATTATACGTATATTCATTGTATTTATTTAATTATCAGACAGAAGTTGTACTACTAGCGAAACGTTCGTATCCGAGATTCATCTTTTAGTAATGTTTAATATAAGCTGTTCCATCTGCTTTAAGATGAATAGAAACACTTTTTTGAAAAAATACTAAAATATATTAACGAATTATTGAAACCATTGCAATTAAAATACAGAAAACATTTTATTTGTTTTAGTGAATTAAGTAATATTGTCAATTTCAGACTCGGGTACATCCAAATTGTCATTAATACAACATTACTTCTACAAAAACTTTGTAGTTTGAATAGACCTTTTTAAATATCTTCTAAACTGAGACAATGAATAACCTGATTTATTTGTTATTCAGAACGTTGCATGCCCTATAAAATTAGAAATCAAAGTTTCACCTCATTAATCAACAGTAACGTGGATTTTAACAGACTATTATTCGAGTATGAAGTATCTACAGTATGTATGTCATTATGCCTATGTTATTATACTCATGATAAATAGTCACACTAATTAGACAAGATTGTACGGATGTACACCCATAAAAAAATTAATAAAATATCTAATCTACTTCATTTCCCCTTTCTGGTTCTGGCTTTTTTGTACTTATAATTTCTTGAATCCAAGATGTATTGTAAATAGCACATGTGCTAATGATAAACTGATTAGTAGAAGCTTTAATAAACAATACACTATTTTTAACAAACAAAGCCCATAATATAACTACTGGTGTTACATACTACTTATACCCGAAAACATAAGTCGCATACACCACAACACAACATTTTAGATAGTCAACTTTACCACTTAAAGCTTTCTGAAATAAAGTCAATTAATTCTTTTTCATTCGATATCAGTTTATGTGAGAAATTAATTTTGAAACATATAATATCATTTTAACACTAAGAAAAAAGATAATCCTTTAGTCAATTGCAGTCGGCTGTAAGTAACATAAAACGGTCTAACATGCTAAACCACATCAAGTATAGTGAGACGAAATCATCAGGCTAATTATGCATCTCGTAAGCTTCTGAAAATCTCCACACATATATATTCAGTGTAGTAGTTGGGTTATAGTCACATATATATTATCTAATGAGAATATTGAAAATATTGTTGGAGGGAGATTAGATATTTAAAGTAACAAGAAAGTTTATCACATAAATGGGATACCTGATAACATTTATGATCATATTTCATAACGTTTTTAACGTCAAGAAATTGGTTTGTTAGGAATGAATCCTTCCTTAACAACTGATTAGATTAATAGTTTAGAGAAATTTTTATATCAGTTAAATACATATCAAATGAATTTCTGATAATTCACTGTTATTTAAATAATATGTCCTCCGGTTTCACAAAAAGTGGGACAGATTGATAAAGTATTTGATCATTTGAATAAATTCCATGATAAATTTTATTTCTGATATCAAAAGTACAAATGGAAACAAAAAGGAAAAAGTGATGTTAAGTGACTTTCTTTTTCAAGGGTGCTTTTCTAGATAAAACATTTATAGATCAAACTATGTAAACATGAAGACAATGGTTTCCTGCTTACTAAATCAGATTCATTCTTCAATACATAAATAATATTTCGTAAATAAATTAACAAGTTATTATTAAACTGATGATAGTTTTTTTAAAAGTAAGATCAGTTACTTTGGTAAGACTATAATTTATGGATGAACCAATCACATTTAAGATAGCAAATCTTGGATTTTGGCACGAAATCCATTCAATCATTTGTTTAAATACTATTTCGGCATTATAACTGATGTCAGTTCGTGATGAAAACATTAAATCTAATTCCTAACCCTAACATTCAACTGTAAATTCTAATCTTAACTCCTTCATACTAATCTATAACCCTCATTTAATCCTGATAAGTAGGTGAACATTTCAAGATCATTTTAACATTGCTTGAAGGTCGACCATAATTTATAGTCTTACCGTTATTTCCTGTGATTTCTTTTAATGATTATTTAAAGAAAATAAATAAATAATTTTTTCTTGATTTAATTCTTTTTTGCTAAATTTACAGTTCCAAAGGAAGACATCTGGGTTTGGGGGGAAATTCAAGAAATGACACCAAAATGATTTTATCCTATGTACTTGACAAATTTATATTGGACTAATTTGGTATAGAAAATTAGATTGGAGTTATATTTCATGTGAATATTACAAAAAAATTGGTATCTAACAGAGATCATGTTTAATCCATATATATATTCAAAATGGTATACAAAAATGTAAAATGATGAATTGAACAATTCAACAGACAAGTAAATCAGTAGACAGAATTAAGATACATTGTAAGCAAAATGTAACAAATGGTTAAATAATGTTGAAATAAAATTTATTGTTTAAACAATAAAAGCTGATTACCATTCGTCAGTTTTGATTCAACCCTGACAAGAGGTTTTTATCATGACTTTTCTATTATTAAATCTAAGTAACAGTATATAACAGTAATTGTTAGGTGGTTGTTTTCCTAATTTTTTATCATAAAGATATTCTCCCTTTGATAAGTTTTTTCTTAGAATTGAATCATTCCAATATATACTTTATAAGATGTACTAAGCTGATATAAAGTATTCAAAGTGGAAGGAAAGTGTAATGAACTCATGTCATTCAAAATAACTGAACATGACTGTTAATTTTGCTTTATGTGATGATGTTAATTTAGAGAAAAATAACAACTAGGTCCTATGGTGTTATCATAAAAGAAATCAAATGAAATTCAACGAGTAATTATATATAAAATAATTTACCAGTGAATCATTTGGTATACATAGATGATTATTATCTTCTAACGACGACTGACGTATATTAGTAGCTGCTTTATTTTGAGAGTCTGTTGTAAGTTGTATATCTTCAAAGTAAGTATTGAGAATTGAATCTGAATAATGATCTCTTGTATACTGTTCATATGAATTTTTATTGATGTAATCGTTTGGTTTTACATGGAAACTTCGAGTTCTAACTAGTGATGAATGATTAGTCGCATCTGGCAGTGGTCGATGTTTCAATTTGTTGCATTTTATTCTAGCGTTTTGATGACAAGTTGTCTAAATTAAAGAACAAATGAAAGTCAGCAAAAAATACATCAGAAAATCCAATTCATATAGATGATTCGGTCGACTAGTTTTTAGTCAACAATGTAATAATGATATGAATTTAACAATAATAGATGTATTGTACTTGATCACTAAGGTATATATTATATCATAGTGCATAAATTACCTTAAGATTATAAACGACAGGCGAAGTTATTAGAAAGGTCGTGAACTCAAGCTTTCAAAAGCCAGTTAAGAGATATGGATTTCAAACAATTCAAATTACATTTGTATTTATGGAGAACTTTTAGCCGAAATAATTAGCGACAAGTCGACAAATACTTTGTCACTAATGCACCAAATTGTAAACAATATCTTGGCGTCAAGGCTAGTGATATGTATAATCTATCAAAATTATTTCGGAACGTTCAGTCACTAAATTGAAATGTTTACTAGGAGAATAACAAACGTTAGTTTAATACAAAAGAAATCAGAGTACTTTATTTAGTATACAAAATTATCTTTGATATTATATAATGACACAGACGTTTACTTGATATTCATAAATTTCATAAGGTGGATACTACTTACCCAATTCAATCCAAAAACATCATATTCACTTGTAACAAGTGAATCACAATCTTCCCAGTATCCACTACTAGCGTTACTACTTGTAATCAGTTGATCTACTGAATTGTGATCTTTTCCAAATGTACTATTTTTAAGTTTATTCTTTTCAGTTGATCTACTTTTGGTTGGTGATAATGAATTGAATAATTCTATACTGTCTGAATCAAGCATATGAAATTTCAAGTTTTTATCCATAAAGAAACAAATGTTGTTATTTTGCTAAAATCAAGAAAAAACAAATGGAAATGTTAACTGAAGTGGTTAGTAAATAAACTGTCAATGTATGAATTAAGTTCTGAAAAATAGAATTGAAAAGATACATTTGAGTATCGAAATCAAAGGATCACCAAATGATGAGAAGAATCACTGATCGGATTCCTTGAGTATTAAAGAGTTTTCATTGAAAAGTTGTATTATCCAATACTACGTTAGGCATTGAATATCATTTGAAAAACTGATTAGATTTGCCTAAGAATTTTTCAGCAACTGTGTTGAACCGACTATTCAATAATTTATTAGATTAGAAATTAATATGATGTTACTATTATTTAGAATAAAGTTGAACTATTTTGCTGTGATGAAGACACCATTTTTTATTGGTATGAGGAGGCATCAAATATATGTGCACCACACAAATCATTCGATATGTGTGAGATCTAGGGTACTGCCCGGGTGCCTAAATCGAAGCAGGTGGTTTTCTTGGTGCGTTACTCCCCGATTCAAACCTTCGACCTAGAGGTTTAATCCACAAGATAGTAGGGTGACGTTATAGATGCAGTCCCATAGTGGCTGGTGACCAACAATAGGTTCATACACAATTTGTTTTCTTAAGATCCTGTAGCTTTGTGATCTGCGCTATCCGCTAATGAACTGTGATTGACGCTTTTCATTGCCTTTTGATTATAAACGCCGTTGAAATTTATATAATAACGGTTATCAAAGCGATTGATAAACGAAGTAAAGCCACTACAAAGCTAAGGAATTTAGGAAAAGACAAATATTCATATAATCTAAATCTTTTCTGTATAGTAGAAGGATCATATTCTGTGAAACTGTTTATTCAGCTTACAGAATAATGGATACAAATCAAGGAGAAGTTATGAAGTAGGTGAAACTATTCGAAAACATACTAACACCTGAAACGTTTTTCACAACATGAAATGATTAACAACATAATAAGTATTAAAAAAAATCCATTTCAAATACTACGCTCTTAAATTGACCATCATTACAAATTGACTCAAGTTAGAATTATTGAATATTGTATCTTGTCTAGCTGATCTAAACGTATCATGCTCACAACAAAAACTCAAAGTCATATGCTTGATGCCATCCGAGATCATAAGTGGATTCCGCTGAAGAACCGGAAATTAGAATAAAACCAAAATTCAGTGCCACCTAGTTTTCAATTGTTTGTTCTAACTGATATTTGTTCGTAAACAGCATTCATTTAAAAAAACTACAGAATAAATACCCAAAGATGATGTAATCGTATGTTTAAGGTACTGAGTACAATATTTTCTCATAAAACCAAGCCGAATTCTATAATGAATTAAACATGAATCCAATATTTTTTCACTTATAAGAAAAACAATCAGCCATTATTTTGATTTTTAAAATAATCCTGTTGTGACTTTAAGACCGGCTTTTTTATCACGTGATTTATTCGCCGATCGAAAAACGACATATTCACTCTTATACTGTGCTAAACCAATGACGTTCGAGCGGTATTAGCAGCCGAGCGTCCTTATTGGTCGATTGCTCCTCTAGCTCGTCCAGTTGAGTCTAGAACACCAATAACAGATTCCACTATGTGGATCCTTTATTTCAAACATACTCGGTTTATATATCAGCCAGACAGACAGAAATAATACTTGTGCAAAATATAGCCAAAGGTGGCGGTGAATGTGGGAGATAGTGATTAAAAAAACTGAGTATAACATAAGAACAGTGAATCATACAATAATGATCTATAGATCAAGATGAAGTTTATAATAAGGGAGAATATAGATATACATAATCTAATCGCTAAACAGTTATACCATAAGAATATACAAATAATATTAGTCCATTAATAGGTCTCAGAAGTTACTCGTAATTTAATCTTCGGTAGGATATAATACTATTGGTCAAAATGAAGCTTATAATAAGATGAATATTGATAAACACAATCTAGTCACTGAATAATTATACAATAGGAATATATATAGTCTACGCAAAATACTACGGATCCGTTCGCCGGACACTATCAGCAATAACCAACTGTGAGTAAGAACAAACCAGATCGTACTGGAGGAAGAAATCAGGAAGAAGTTCTGGAAGTGGATAGAACATACATTGGGGAAAGCACCCAACTGAGTCACAAGACAAGCCCTCACATGGAATCCTGAAGGTCAAAGGAGAAGAGGAAGATCAAAGAACACATTACGCCAGGAAATGGAGAGAGACATGAGAAAAATGAACAAGAATTGGATGGAATTAGAAAGGAAGGCCCAGGATAGAGTGGGTTGGAGAATGTTGGTCGGCGGTCTATGCTCCATTGAGAGTAATAGGCGTAAGTAAGTAAGTAAGTAATATATATATATATAACATTAGTGCATTATTAGTTCCTGTAGTTACTAGTAATGTAACCTTCACTAGGATATAACAAATTCCAGATACATTTTCTTTTCTTTTTTGTAATAAACTTTTGGTTTATTTACCAAAATAGATTTATTGGGTTCATTTTTTTTAAATTTTTCTTTTTATTCAATGTCTAATGTGTTTTTAACTTAGAATTAATAAATGTCATAACAATTTTACAATCAGTACCATATTTTTAACAATCATCCTATCGGCTTACCCATTCTTATTTGTTTTCATATAGAAACAACTATAATTTGGACATTATATTATACTATATTCATTTCAATTTTATTAGTCAGTGTTTATACTGTAAAATATAATTCATAAATGAATCAGTTATTTATTACATAATACATAAAATAATGTCAGTCTTTTAAAAGAAATTCTAATGAAAATAAGTTTTGTACAGAACGGTAATGCGCAACGTTTTTTTTTCTTTTTTACCGAAAATATTTACCGATGTTAGTTAATCTAAATATTGGAAAGTTAATAAAACTATTTATTTGTTTTCAGAGGGGGGTTTTGTGAAGAGTTTAGAAATTTCACTAGTTGAAATCATGAGCCAACTGAAGATAGATCACCATGGAAAACATGAAAGCACTACTGGATGGCCGCTTCGTCCGACTGCGGGACTCCTCAGCAGTGTGTATCCACGATCCCGCCCCCCGCGAAATTCGAACCCAGAACCTGTCAGTTTCACGCTTGAGTACTTAACCATTAGACCATTGAGCCGGCCAGCATCCAAGTGTTAATGTCTATTATTTATTTTTTTATTGAAAAAAAGTTCCATCATTATAATCAACAGATTACTTTAGTAAATAATACATTATTCGATGGATAAATAAAGATAATGGGAAGAAAAAAAAATTAATTAAGATGATCTATTTCTATCAATAATACGAAGGAATTAAGTTTGAAATTGAAAAGAACTAGTTTATGACTTATTTCTATGTTTTATTGTATTGTAAAGATTGTTAAATTTGAAGTTTTTACATCGTATACAATAATTTTGATAAATAGACATTATGTATTAGTATAAACTGTCAGTCCGTAATCTGATAGTCTGAATGTATTCAGCACGTTAGTGAACCTCAAGGTTACAATTTTGATCCCTGAAGGATTAATAAAATGAGCTTCGGTGAGGAGTCCCAAATTAGGATAAAACAATACCATAAGTTTCATTGATTTTCTAACTAAAATGATTATCAGTATGAAGTTTTAGAGACTGTTTACACTTATTATGACCAAAAACCGATCTGTTAAACAATCACCGAAAACATGGAAGAGCTTGTTTGTCTTTTTGTTTGAGTGTGAGACTCTTCAGAAGCTCACTTACAAGAACTCAATAGCCAGTAGTGGAGTAATGGATGCGCACTGCTGAGAACTCTTACACTAAGATGAAACGAAGTCCAGTACTCCCAGGTTCTCATTCGTTATCTAACGGAGATCAATTCGTGGTCTCAATAAAACCTTCATAATGAAACATTCATATCTACAATAAACAATTTCCACAAACCTATAAGAAATGGAATTGGATTGGCTAAAAAGTACGTAGATTAAATTCATTTTACAACTGATCTGGTTTCAAACATCAATAAAATTTGTCAAGGAGATAATAAAACTAATTATTAACTAATTCAAGAGTAATAAATTCACATTATTCATATATATGATATAGGCTGAATAGGAATGTGCATACAACTCAATCATACATAATAAGCTTCACCTTCTTATATTTATCTTTATGCAATAATACGCATGCGCAAATACCATTCATATATTGAATAACTACCCCATTAAAATCTAAACTTGAGAAAATAACACATTTAGCAGTAATTTGAAGAAGTGCAAAATATAGTCTTTGTCCGGAATTGAGTGACAGCAACAGGTAGAAATCACCATAAGTGACCTAGATATATAATATTGCTCAAAAATTTATTGTGTAATCTTCATGATATATATGTATATATAAGAGCTATTCAAGTGTAATCTTATAACAAGCACATTCATCGTAATCTAGAAATATGTTCTACATTTATACAAATTGCATTATTTCAGACAATTATCGTTATAAAACTCATCAGGGAAAATATTTCAACTAATGTTTTATTTTCAGAAAAGTATACTTGAATATAACGAAATGAAAATAACTATTTAATGAGATATTGATCAGTTACATACTCTCGAGAAGTTATCTTTTCTTCTACCCATCTTCATTCTATTTCAATTATAATTGAACTAAATAATGAGAACTTCGTCAATATTTTTAATTCTAGAATAACAGTATGAATGTTATTCATCTGTTAAATAACAGATTAAACGTGATTACGCAATGAAATCAAATGCTAATGCTAAAAGGTGGAATTAGTCGACAAGAAACCCTGGATCTAAATTTTGTGCTATTTGACGCTCGTCAGGAGGATGAACCTGCAAGATTCGACCTCGCATCACTTGGCTTCACTGTGAGAGGCGGTATCACTGAGCTATCTAGATCACGACTAACTTTCAGTAAGAATGAAATTTATTTACAACTAACTGATCACTGCAGAGTGACCAATGTTATTTATCTCAAGCTACTATCCAGCAATTCATCA